CTTTACCCCAGAGTACAGGTGTACTCATTGTTGAGAAAGCAAACCATCGGTCCACAGGTACATATTCCCCCAATAGCCTTTATCGTCATGCCCTTCCATTGTCTTCTCACGGAATTGCGCAGGTATCATGACATACCTCTTTCTAGTCTCTGCCTCCCACGTGTCGAACTATCAGCATCAGGTTCTTGGATGTATTACTGTCACTATATGTCACTCACTATATGCAGACACCTTGTTGAGATGCCGACCTAGCTAAGTAGGTAGATGGACTCGCTCAACCCAGCCCAAACAAATTAGATTTACTTTGTTTTCCGTTGCAGCCAGGCAGGCTGAACCAATCTGATCTGTCAAATTGATCTTCGTAGTTTCAATTTGTTCCCACACCACGAGTGAAAGTGATGTCAGGCTGGTGGTCTTCCTACACTATCTCTCCGTATTATCGGGAGCTGGTATTGTTGCGTTTCTTGCTTTCTTCCTTTTTTGTTTCTTCTTCTTTCTGTTTCTCTGCCGAGCAAGCCGAGTCTCATCTTCCATGCTTGCTTTACTTACACTACGTATATACATGGACATATGAGAGATCTTGGCTTCCTCATCCGTTCCGATGATTTGATCCCATCATGATTGCTCTCCGCTCTGCCGCGCGGATCAGGGTATGTGCAGTAAGTGTAAGGTAGGTAGAGGTATGTATGGCTTGCAGTCTCTCAGTGTCACTGAGGTGGACCCATGACATATAAGAGCATGAAGGATGGATGAATGGGATAGGGAAGCGAGGATGCGGTGGGATGGAAGGGACGAAGATCGTTTCGTAAAAGTTGGGGTAGGCGAGGGAGGGAGAAGAGGATGAACCCTGGATGCATATTTATAACCATACTCTGTAACAGGTTTCCCCCGTCGTTGACAGCCCGCAATAATACGCTCGGTCGGTACGTCAAAGAAACAGGATGGACGTTGGCTTGATTGTAGCTAGTTGGAAATCGTGATCCATTCCGTCATATCAAGCTAAAGGAAAAGAAAAGAAAAAGTTACCTTCTGCAAGAAATGTATCGAGCATTGGGAAAGATGAACAGATAGCCATACATAATGGATCACAAGAGATAATGATATTCAACGGGCGATGAGCAGTGAAACAAAATAAATTTGGACAAATGGAAATTGGAACTTGCGTACAATGACAGCATAGGATGGAGGGGCATGGAATCGAGTCCAAAGGCCGGGTGGTAGGACCAGCGTCCCTTTTTGAACCGTTTTTATATTATATTTTATTTGCTTATCAACAGAACCCGGTGCAGTCATGGTTCAGCTGGAGATACGTGGAGGGGCTTTGCAAAGGAGGGGGGGAGGGAGAAGGGGGGGGGAGGGCGCGCTCCATACACTGCTTGATTGCGGAGGAGGGGACTCGAGCTGTAGAAGGGGGGATGGGTGTTGTGGAGGGAGAAGGGGGGGGGGGGGGGGGGGGCGCCTAATGGAGGGGCTGCCCCGCCTTCCGTGGTAACCCAAACAAAGTCATGCTACTCTGGGCAGTCTAGGCCTTGGAGGGGCAACACGAACGACAAAAGAGCTCTTCCGGCCAAGTCGTTTGGATGCAGTGCCTAGTCTTGACCGGTAATTATTAGAGGGGAAAGGTGTTGACGGGGTGACAAAGCAAAAGAAAATCGAGCTTGGGTGACCCCCATTGATTCGGGCTCGATGGCAAGGCACATAGTCGATCCTCGCTGTAGCAGCAGAACAGCATTGGACACTTGAGGAGCTGCTGCAGTTCGAGCCTCGCGTCTCTTGGATTCCAGAAGCGGACGAGGGATGCTGTGTTTGACGATATGTACAAGGTCATCAAATTGAAAATGTCTGGTGGGGCAGACTATGCACTTTGGATGATGAGCTGCGGTTGGAAGACTTCGGGAAGCCAGCCGTTGAAAGGCGTTCGGTTTTGAAAGACTCGGGGCTGAACGAATGCCCAAACATAGCAAGGATCGTGAGGATCGTTGTTTTGAAGGGAGACCTGTCCGAGCAAATCAGGAGCCGTCCCATCTGACGAAACGGAGTTGTGACCCGGAAAGTCGAGGAGAACGGCAATGAGGTGAAAGTGACAAGGGAGACCTCGACACATTGCTGAAACATTTATTCTTAAGTTCTCCAGGTCCAGGTCTTAGTTCAGGCGCCGTTGGCCCCGAGATAGGTGTAAACCGAAAGTTACCAAAGATATGGGTTCAGACATAGTGGCGCCTAGTTGTTGGTTTTGTGTGTGTGATATATTGCTATGTCTCGTCATGGCGATAGCCCAAAGCGACCAACCACCACTTCAAGGGATAAAAGGTCGGAGTTTCCATTGCTCTGATGTTGTTGTGATGGCCGAGTCTCTTCTCATCATATCGCAGACAAGTCTGAGCATTACCGTGACCGATCAAGATCTTAGCCGACTTGGACCTATCAGAATTTCTTTCTCCTTGGTGGTGTGGCGATGGTGGTTCAAAGAAAGTCAGTCATGTTGACACTAGTCTGCATGGACAAGGTACCGAATTCTAGCAACCCGGTAATTTTGCCAAAGGGCTTCCTTTTTGACGGAAACTGGCATTCTTGAGTTACCAGAACCTCAGGGTTTGATATGCAGCTAAGCATCACCTATGACCGCAGAGGACTACCTAGATCCCCAAGATGCCCAAGATTCTCGACAGCCTGACTGAGACTCCTTCGCTTCGAGCTGTTGTAATCATGCATACCGGGTGCTTGTGCCTGATCTAGGTAGGCCATGGAGCCAGGCTGCCCTGCCTATCTTTGCGTTTGCGGAACCTGATGCTGATGGTGGGGGGAAACGAGCAAAGAGGACAAAGCCGGAATACCAGTGCAAAGTAACAACAAGGCGACCAAGAAGGCATTCCCGTCTTTGCTGTTACCGTGTACATACCAGGTAAGGTGTCACACTCACAGTCCACTATCTCTACACAGGGAGGGGGAAGTTGGAGGGTTGGGAGAGATGGAAGTTCCAGGCGACATCCACCAACGGGATCGCGAGCGGCTTTTAGGCGAGCCAATCCCAGGCCTAGACCTGCCAAGGAGGGTCCGGTGTTCGGGACTCTTGCTAACAAAAGTGCTCGCAGTTGCGGGGGAAGGCAGCGCAGCTCCTACCCAGTCGCGTTAGTGAGCAACATGGACCGACCTATCATCACACCTGCTTCCCCAGAGGCGAGTGCATGCAATTTTTCTCGAGCCAAGTTGGAAGGGCCGCTTCACTGCAACTGGAAAGGGCACGAGGGCTCGGCCAGGATCTGACGGAGATTCAGAGCGGGCGCGAAACCTACCACGCTTACCTACCTGGTAACCTAGGTACCAACTACCTACCATAACCTAGCTCACTCAATCTGAGCCTGTCCTTGTTTGGGTCCTTTCAGCCGTAGGTATGTTTTAGTTAAAGTTGAGGGTTGTTCTTGCCTGCCATCGCGTCGGATGTTTCGAGTTTTTTCGTTCCATGTCACTGAGTGCGCTGTCCTGTTCATTCCATCGATGTGGATGAGAGCCCAGTCGGCGGACAAGATCACAACTGCACCGAAACCCGACCCGACCGGACGCCTGTGTTGTGGGTTGTCACGATAACCTGACTGGCAGGCACTGAGGTGACCTGACCTGGGCTTGAAAGAACGCGGACCTGGACCTGGACCTGCCTGCCTGCCTGCCTGCCTACCTCTACTGCTCTCCACTGCTAGTAGTCTGGAAGCCCTGTGCATTTCATTAGTTGCGTTGCGTGCGTGTAAATCTTGCTGCTCCATCGGCCCAGTAGCCCAATCCCTTCTCTGCGTCCCCGTCCAGTCCAGTCGCCAGTCTTCTCTACCTACCTCTACCTAGCCCATCGCCCGGCCGGACCCCCCAGCCAGCGGGCAGCCCAAGTGGAAGCGTCTGCGCTCGTCCGTCTCCTCCCAAAAGTCTCTAAGCAACCACCACCGACGTTGATTTTTTCTCCCGACGCTTTCTATCCCAACCAAAACAGGGCGACGTCTTTAACCACAAAGAACGCGCATTTTCAACCCCACCCTGGCGATAAAAGTCCTATTATCATAGGCATCATCTCGCGGTATCTCGTCTTCTGGCCTCCGTCGCTCAATTAGACGCAGCTTGTTCCAGCGACCCTCCGACCGGCCCAGCGCTCTGCACTGCACCTCGCTGCAGCACTTTGCACTCTCCCGGGCAGTCCATCGACCAGTTTTTCCCGACCGTGGTTTTGGCAGTGGCAGTGACAGCCTCTCCCGCAGTCTCAGGACTACTTGAACTCCCCTTCTACATCCGACCTTTTCGACCCAGATTTTCGACGACGACACGGCGTTTTGCCCCAGCCCCGTCCGCGCGACAAAAAAAAAAAAAAAAAAAACCACGTTACCTCACAAAGGACGATCAGAGACTTCTGGACCCGTCTCCTTTTTCCATCATTGCTAACCCTCTTGTCGCCGCGTACTACCGGACCGATTTCTTCGCAATTCCGACGACGCTGCGCTAGATTTGCTTGCGCTTGCTCTAGACCGTCCGCACCTCCGCCAAACCCAGTGACGATTTACTAAAACCAAAGCACAACATTCGGTATCCGAAAGAATACCTATCTCCAGAAAAAAAAACACAAAAAAAAAATCACCGCTTGCTGTATTCCCAAGGAGAACGCGTTCGCCTCTCCAAAAACCCCCAACAATCGCTTCTTGCTGGGATCGCTTCTGAGCGTAAGTTGATCAACTGCCGTTACATTGCGGCTTCCCAGTCTCTGCCCAGCCGTCGCTCCTCCTTCATTTTCCCGTCATCGCGATCGCGTGCGGCAAACCCCAATCAGAATTTGCGTCGTCATTGGCAATGTCTAACGTCTTGAATTAGTCGTTTAGCTTTGCAGAAGTGCATCTACCCCAGTTTCCTACTCCTTACGCGTGCCGCTCTTTTAGACCCGTCCCATCCGACTAGCTGGGGTTTGTCGGTCGTTACCGTGACTTCGAAAACCTGTGCGCGGTATCTCTCCGATTGGTGAGGATTTTGCAATGGCGGACCATACCGAAGTCGACCTCGACTCTATAATCGACCGCCTCTTGGAGGTGCGGGGCAGTCGGCCTGGTAAGCAGGTGCAGCTGCTGGAAGCCGAGATTCGCTATCTCTGCACCAAGGCCCGTGAAATCTTCATTTCCCAGCCCATCCTGCTTGAGCTCGAGGCTCCTATCAAGGTAAGCATTGTGCTCTTTCTATTCTCCCTTTACATAGCCTCGGCATGCGCCATACTGCCCCTTCGGCAGTGTTCATAGCTGACGTCGTGCCCCACCTCCCTAGATTTGCGGCGATATCCACGGTCAATACTATGATCTCCTCCGCCTCTTCGAGTACGGTGGCTTCCCTCCTGAGGCCAACTACCTCTTCCTAGGTGATTACGTCGATCGTGGCAAGCAGTCCCTGGAGACCATCTGCCTGCTCCTCGCCTACAAGATCAAGTACCCCGAGAACTTCTTCATCCTTCGTGGCAACCACGAGTGCGCGTCCATCAACCGTATCTATGGTTTTTACGACGAGTGCAAGCGGAGGTACAACATCAAGCTTTGGAAGACCTTCACCGACTGCTTCAACTGCCTACCGATCGCTGCCATTATCGACGAGAAGATTTTCACTATGCACGGTGGTTTGAGCCCGGATCTTAACTCAATGGAGCAGATCCGCCGAGTCATGCGACCAACTGACGTACGTTACACCATTCATGCCCGGGCTTTCCGTTTGCTCAGGCTGGTTGCCGTAACATGAGACACTAACAATAGCGCCAGATTCCTGACTGCGGTCTTCTTTGCGATCTCTTGTGGTCGGATCCCGATAAGGACATTACTGGTTGGAGCGAAAACGATCGTGGTGTTTCCTTCACATTCGGCCCGGATGTCGTTTCTCGCTTCCTCCAAAAACACGACATGGATCTGATCTGCCGTGCTCACCAGGTTGTTGAGGACGGATATGAGTTCTTCTCGAAGCGCCAGCTCGTTACTTTGTTTAGTGCCCCCAACTACTGCGGCGAATTCGACAACGCTGGTGCTATGATGAGCGTCGACGAAAGTTTGCTCTGCTCTTTCCAGGTATGTTTTCTGACTTTGGCAAGCTCCGAGACCCTTGCACTCTTGCTAACCCCCTTTGCAGATTCTCAAGCCCGCAGAGAAGAAACAGAAGTACGTTCCCAGTCTTAGATGAAGCAATTCAAGACCCCCAAGAAGCACAAGTAAAGAATTTTCTTACGAACAAACCCGTTTTCCTTTAGGTTCGGCCGCCGATAAACGTCTGATACTTTCGCCCGCCCGCAACGAACATGAGTATCTTACCGTCAGCTTGTCTACCGCCGCCGTGTTTCTTGATCGCCAGGGCTCCCAGCCATCATCCCGTCTGCCGTCTGTTCCGACCACTTCTTTTGGGGAGGTCCTCGCCCCTCCTGCCGCGCCAACGAAACGAAAGCCACGTCTGCCCGTCCTGTCTCTCCATCCGTCCGGTATCCACACAACTCGAGAGGGTAGGAAGGAAAGGGAATCTTTTTATATCTCGGGGGATGAATAACGAACGACCTTTTCTTTTTCTTGTCTGGTCACTACTCCTGCTAGGAAAGGTATAGATAAGCAGTGTGTGTCTTGGGGGGAAACTAGTTGTTTTGTGTCGCTTTTCGCCAAAGGCATATGTCATTCCGTCATGGGAGAGTGTATTGAAAATTTGTCCGTTTACATCCGCTCCAGCACTTTCTGACTACGGCATGCTGTGTTTCGCCACTCCGCTAGTTTCCATCTACGGCTCAGTTTCGAAAGGTATATACGTTGCAGCAGCATCATAACACATCTCCGGTTTAATCTACCAGCTCATCGGCCCAGTCAAACAACACTTCCGCCTTACCCTTCTACGGCTCTCACAACCTAGGCTCTTGTAGTTAAGATGATCAAAATGGCCAGGGCACCATCGCAGAGGTAAAGCCACGAATCTTGCAAACGGATGAGACGGAACGCCTTGGTGATACCAGAGAAGAAACGGATGGGATGAAAGGCGGTGGTTTTCTGCGCTCAGGCCCGATTCTGCCACGCTGGATGGATAGAAAAGCAGGAGAGAGGCGTTGGGCAGGACAGGACAAGGAGAAGAAGCACGATATCGCGTCCTAGGTTATGAACATGAAGATGATAGAACGTCTTGGCAGGCTCCATTTTTCTTGTTTTTGGGGGAAAGGGGAGGGGGACGGTTGCTACTGGGTGATTATGAGGCGAAAACCATGCTGTATTCGAGAAAGAGGAGGCAAGCGTGCCGGCGGTAAGGAGTGCGCGGGGCATTGACCGATGGGTTGATCAATCAGGCTCATCGTGAAAACGTGAACTGGCGGTGGCATACGGTGACTGAGAGGCAAGAGTGGTACTGAGATACAGGTTGTCGTCGTGTTGTGTTTGGAATTCCTGTATGTTTACCAGTATAATTATACATTACGATCGAGCGGGATAGAGTGTGGTTCTCGAAGTCAAGTGAGTCGTCTAGCAATGCGTATATTACGTTGAAGATACCATGAGTGGGACGAACAATGAGAGGGGGTAGCGTAGCCCTCTTCGTCAAGTATGCGGGAACGTCGGACGGAGAGGGATGACAGAGAAGGGGCCTGGAGTCTTAAGTCGGGAGCTGGGGATTGGGCAAGGGGCAGGTATTTCTGATGTATATGTGAACGTATCCTCAATGTTTTGTTTTGTTACTTATTGCTAAAGTTTCTTTTCGTTTTAGGTCTTTCCTTCACTTTGTGTTCCCTTCGTTGCGTGAGCTTTGTTTTTAGTACCTTCCGTTAGATAATGGGAAATATGAAGTCAAGCAGCACTGGTTACACTCTTATGTTCATGAGCTCTCACAAAGCTTACTGCCAATAACATTGCCTCATAGTATTTTTTTCTCTAGACGTACACCTTGCTGTAATACATTTCCCTTCATAACTTCGTAGTCTCCGAGTGTCAATACAAGCACGTTGATGATCACAATTGAATAATCAGGTATTCATAGCAATCCGAATTCTGAAGGGGAAGGGTGATGGTGAATCGATCTCACTAGTACTTCATCTTCCCTTTCCATAGTGCGTTGTGAACTTCGCGTGTTTACTTGCCTAGGCGCATCTACCGTATAATATCTGGAAACTGACTTTCGGGAAAAGCTCAGCCTATTTTCTGCTTCTTTCCTACACCTGACATCTTTGACTTCACCCGCTCCATGTTTTCCAGAAAGTAAATTCCCCGAAAGGTATATGATCTAGACCCGTACCTGGTTCATCTACCCTGTTTTAGGCATGATACTTGTATGTCAAAGGATCATCAGCTGTTTTTGAATCCCCCATACGTCGATTTATTTCCTCCTAGGCTCATGTTCTCGGTGTTCCCCATGGCTTCACTCGTCACCAGGCTTCTCAAAGACCGCAGCCCTGTTCTATACTCATAGTGAAGCGTCATCACTTATATCTACGCAGTATAACTCAGTAACCAACCTGAGTTGACTTCGATCATTCAAGAAGCGTTTGATTCGAGCCTATGGGAGAAGGGCCAAGCAATAGCACTTGTGCTTATGCAAAGAGAGAGAGAGAGAGAGAGAGAGAGAGAGAGAGAGAGAGAGAGAGAGAGAGAGAGAGAGAGAGAGAGAGAGAGTATTCCAACCCAACTAGTTATCTAACCTTCGGAACCACAACCCACAACCATCTAACCAGATATCCCTCCTTTCTCCAATATCCCACCCATCTATCCCCTAATTCACTGTCCACCCTCCAAGTCCTTATAAGTCTCCTCAGTCATCCAGCTAGAATCAGCCGTCTTCTTTTCTCCGCTACCTCCCCTCGTATCAGTTCCAGTTCCAGTTCCTTCCCCCGTCGTCTTACTCTGCTCTCCGCTTTGCCTCCCACTCCCACCAGCATGCCCTCCTTCAAAATCCCCCCCCTTGTAAGTTTCCTCAGTCATCCAGTTATCGCAATCGGCACACTCTGTCTTGTTAGAGGTACTTTGCTGCGGGGGGGCAGCAGCCTCCGTAGACTTGGTTCTGGTAGCTTCCATAGTAGTAGCTTCCGTAGCCGGCTGCTGCTGCTGCTGCTGTTGCTTCTTGGAATAATAATCCCGATCAACATGCCCCAGATTTCTCTCCGGTTGAATCACGTCTCTCACCCGCCTCTTGAGCTCCTTGGTTTCGGGGAAGCCGCCGTCTGTTTTGCGATCCCAGATTGTCTTTTGCTGTATTTCGCGAGTGGTGGAAGCTTGGTTGTCCAGAGTGGTGGCGGCGTAAGTGATGTCGACGACAAAAGTGCCGCCTGTTGAGGGCTGGAGAGCGACCTCGCCGAGAGAGGTGGAAAAGGTTGAGAGGAGTTCTTGGGCGTACTGTGTTGGAGCAGGGGAGTTAGAATTCATGGAGATGTAGCTGAGGTTACGTGGTTCATGTGTATTTGACGGGAACCTGATGGGTGAATGTGTGGATGATGAATGGTGTAGGTGAAGTGGGAGGGTGAGGCGGGGGTTAGGGAATTCAGAAACCCTCTTCCGAGACGGTGAATAAATGACAGTGGCGAGACTCGAAGCGTCTGAAAAGTACTTTGATATCTTCAGGAAACTTTCTACTCACATAAGCTGCCCTAAGCATCCACTTGCACTGCGTACAAAAGCGGATGGTGACACGAGGAAGTAAAGTTGGAGTCGAGGCACTGGTAGTAGTAGGAGTTTGGTCCATCATCCTTGTGTGTACTGGGAAATGCTATGTGAAGAATGAGAGTGCTATACATATATATATTCGCGTAGATGGAGGCCTCTCGATTGTCATGGACTTTGCGTGTTTTTCTCACTCTGGACGGTTTTGGGTGGCGGCGTGTAAGTGGGAGTTCATGTGATTTGGAGGGAAGTCCACACGAGAAACGGCCAAATCCTGGAGCTGTACTCAGCTCCATCGTTACGGATGGGTTCCGCACCCCGAATCGCCTGTGCGTCATCACGCCTCCGATCTAAACATAAGTTCATCAACAACCAGAGCAAGATCCCCAAATGGATTACTATCTTGTGAGGATTTGCCAAGCGTCAAGTGCAATAATAGAGACATTTTTTAATGTCTATTTCTCGACCCAACTGCAGCAATCCATCACATAGGATATCAAATTCCGTTGATGAGGAAACTGGAGCTATTTTGATGCATTCATTCAAATATCATCAGTTTGAGTAGAATCGATAGTCTAGTGCATTTCATTTGCCTCACTTATCATGTCGTAAGCCCCTTCCTTTCCAGACCCAGAAGAGGAAGCCGCGCGAAAAGCGCTTCATGAAGCAGGATATACACATGTAAAAGACAAAAAAGGGAATCGAGAAGGCCGAGTATAAAAGAGTACAACCGGGGAATAAGAAGCGAAAAAAAAGGAAAGAAAATATAGAAAAATAAAAAGGTATTACATGCTGAAGAGTCTGCCGAGCCTGCCTGCCGTAGATCCGAAGTAACGGATGGGGGTATTTGAATAAGCATTATGGTCAGGCCAGCCGTCGTGTCTTCACTCCTCAAAACCTTTCTCCCCGGTTTGACGTATCGTGATAATGGCGGCGACAAGGACGAACCGCAAAAATGTCGACCTCTTTCCCTCCCGATGATGGACACCTGATCGCTCATAATCTCCGATAACGTTCTCGGCCTTCCAAACCAACTCCGTCCGGATTCAATCCCGCTTGCAAACGACGGTGTCCGCCCCTCCAAAAGACTTTCGTAGGAATCGCTGTTTCGAAAAGCTGAACTGATCGCCCGTGCTAAACAGAGTGACTCGAATGTCCTCCCCTTTTGTTGCCGTATTGATGTCGTAGCTTTTCGCAGTTGGCAATTTACATGACGACGCAGCACCCGCTGCTCTGTTGTGGCAAATACGGGTCTTCGGACTTGGGCACCGGCCCCCAAACACTTGGTACCATGTAGTCTCGTGTGCTGTTGCAGTAGGTGATTATGCTATATAGAGAAAAAGAAACGACTGTCAGCCTCATTGAACCGCGACCGGCACATGTTGCCGAACGACCCGAGCAACAACGAATGTCAGTTCTCACCTCTTGGCTGCCTGGCTAACCGGAATCCTCTCCCTTTCCAAGTCCTCACGTAGTCGGTTATTGAGTTCGGTCAATCGACGGAGTTTTAGATCGGCCATGCTTTGCTTGTTCTTCTTGATTTGCGACGGGTCGCCGACATCGCGAGAGGCGTATTGAGGCATTTTGGCTGATATTATCGAAGCCTCGACTCCAGGGTAGGAATTAAAGGAGTGTTGGAGTGTCGTCGGGGACGTGGGCGACAATGGTGCTGCGACAAAAGCCGACAACTAGTTCGGACAGGCTTGGTGGTGAGGAAGGGTCGCAAGTAGAATTCGGGGTCGGTGGTGCTGTGGGTATTTAACGATAGGAATTAAGCTGTTTAGACATGTCGTGTCAGCCGTGTTGTTCAGATGTCGTCGTCAATCGCCATTCATTCACTCCAGTCGGCGGTCGGGGTCGCGCTGATGCTTGCTCGTGTCGGGGGAGCGAGATGGAAAAATAGTTGAAGTTCGGGCTCTTCCCCCGGCGGTCCTCTGTCCTTGCTACTGACGGCTGGCGATTAGGCGGCCACTAATGAGACGGACGGAGGTGCCAAACGTGAAAATGAAGGGCGACGGCCGCGATGGAGCAATTGGAAAAATTGCGGCAAGCAGATGGAACGATCGGAAATCGCGAATACATACCGGATACTCTTGGTGAAGGGCAACCTCCTGGCACGCAACGGGGAAAAGGTGATGTCGACAGTCGATAGTTGGGTTAAGCGAAGGGTCGGAGAAGGCGCAAATGGATCATTGATTGTCCCGAGTATTGAAGAGAGGGAGGAATTGCGGACAACGATGCCAGGAATGCTTAGGACCGACACACGATTGACGATTCCTAATAGCAAGTCTTGGGAAGAGAAGGGGCGCCCATATGGAAGTTCCTTCATTCCTTCAGTGCCACTGGCGGGCCCCGGACCGCGACGGGGGTCAGTGCGCAGCCTGTAGAGCCAGTAGCAGCGCAGCAGGGAACGGTTCGGTAGGCGGGTGCAGTCCGTGCAATTCCCCAGCAGGCATGGACGCCCCAGTTTCCCCCTGCTTGGCCTGCTGCAGTGCTGCGCTTTTACCTGCACTTGCACTGCTGCAATGCTGGTCGCTTCGGTGCTGCGCTCCTCTTCTGGGCAGCCAAAGCAACCCAGGGCGACGAGGAAAAAAAGGGCCAAGTGCAAATGAGACGGACCAGGGGGTCGCTTAGCAAGGTTTGGTTAGATTAACTCGACACTAACTACGACCGTAGACGGAATGGGTGCAGGCGAGTTAGTATCAAGACAAGATAGCAAGTATCACCACGAGCTCCGCATTCAGGATGAGGTGCCGGCCTCCCTATTGTCCTGCCCCATCCGTGCCATTGTGATTGACATTGTTGCAAGCTTCTGGAAGCGGGACTGGAGGTCAAGATCTAGGAAAAGAAAAGGAAGATGGAGGCCGTTGAAGATGGACTGCTGCCACCGCCGCTGGATAGGCAGGGACAGGACTAGTCCGACCAACCGACGGGACCTTTTTTGGATCTGTCGGTGCTGCTGTGCATGAAAGCTGCAGCATGGAAATGGCAAATGCAGGGCAGTCAGAACACGACGGGTTCCGCCCCCACTTTATCGTCCCCCCTTTGATGGTCTAGCGGAACCACCCCGGCTCAGCAGGCATCTCCGGACGGGATTGGGAATGGCGCCATTGGGTGGGTGCCCACTTGCTCCGACCGATGATGGATGGGCGCCTTGAACGCTCTGGGTGGGACGACGAGGGTACAGAGGAGAGCGTCCTGTTTCTGCATGTATGTATGTATGTAATTACAGACCTTGAAGTCTTATGCAGTTGCTGGTGTGCATTCAGCTACAGGAGAAGAGTTTGCAGTCACTCTAAGCAATTCAACTAGCAATATTATATGCCTTTTTGGAAGATATATGTTCTTACTGGGGATTACCTTCTCAATGCTCGACCGAAGTTCACCACGATTCTGTTCCAAGTTCCAACTAAGCCTCAAAGTGCAATTTCGTCGATGACAGCCGTGAGAAAGCTTGGCAAGACCGCCAACGGTCCGTCATCGGTCAAGGCGGGGGTCCGTGGCCCGGCAGATAGGAACGTCGCCAGCGGGCTGGGAACTCGGGCACAAACAAAGAACAAAAGCCGCTGTGCACACACACCATGGAGCTCCTTTCTAGTGTAGTGTAGTGTAGTGTACACTGGGCAGCACCAGACGCCAAGATGGCAGAACATCCCACTTGCCCTTTGCGACAATCCAACCTTTTTACCATTGTGCAGAATAGCCTCACAGCAGATCACGGTTAAGATCGAGAAAACAATTAGGTGCATCTCAGTCAATCCCAATTGCTACAGCAGTGACCAAACATCCAATCGCACAACAACTTGCACTTCACGCCTCTGAGTGGTTGTCGCAACGACGTGCTCGATAAGCTGCATCACGTGACTGTCCCGCATCATCCCAGCCCACAAAGTGCTCCTCAGCAAAATCGAGCCTCTAGCCTTGGCCAGGGCTTTTTTGGCTAGCGACGAACTGAACTTCTCCACGAGGCGAAAAAATCGTCCTGGACAGCGCAGCCTCAGCCAAAGTCTCCAGCATTTCTACGTGCTGCTTTGCGCGCCGCGTCCCCTATCACCACTTTATCCATATCTCCTCTAGATTAGCCAAGTGCCGAGGAGTTGCCCATCATGGTGAGTTGGGAATACAGCCTAGCCTTATGGTTATGGCTTCGAGTTCATATTATCTTCTGCCCCTCCTTTGACTGGAAAGCCAACTCCATCGTCACCTACCTCATCACCGCCCACCCTGCCCTCCACCCCCCCTTCAACCCTCGACCACCCCCGCTCCCCGCCTGTCCCGCTCACCACCAAGTGTCGTCGTGTGTTGTGACCCGTGGTGACCGTTACTGATCATCAACAGCCTCCCCCACCTCACCAAAAGCCTGAGAATGTTCTCAAGCGCGCCCACGAGCTCATCGGGGTCAACCAGGCCCCCGCCGCCCTGACCCTGCTCCACGAGCACATCACCTCGAAGCGCTCCCGCAATGTCCCCATCGCCTCCCTGGAGCCCGTCATGCTCCTACTCGTCGAGCTCTCCGTCGAGCAGAAGAAGGGCAAGCTCGCCAAGGACGCCCTCTACCAGTACAAGAACATCGCCCAGAACACCAACGTCGCCACCATCGAGTTGGTTCTCAAGAAGTTCATCGAGCTCGCCGCCGAGAAGGTCACTGCTGCCCAGGCCAAGGCCGACGAGGTCCAGTCTAGCATCGAGGCCACCACCTCCAACATCGACGATCTCGAGGCCAGCGAGACCCCCGAGTCCATCCTGCTCGCTACCGTTTCCGGTGAGCAGTCTCGCGACCGCACCGACCGCGCTATCGTCACTCCTTGGCTGAAGTTCCTTTGGGAGGCTTACCGCACTGTTCTTGACATTCTGAGGAACAATGCCCGCCTCGAGGTTCTCTACCAGAGCACTGCTATGCAGGCTTTCGACTTCTGCCTCAAGTACACCCGCAAGACCGAGTTCCGCCGCCTCTGCGAGCTTCTCCGCAACCATGTCCAGACCGCCGCCAAGTACTCGGCCCAGATGCACGCCATCAACCTGAACGACCCCGATACTCTTCAGCGTCACCTTGAGACCCGTTTCCAGCAGCTCAACGTCGCCGTCGAGCTCGAGCTCTGGCAGGAGGCTTTCCGCAGTGTTGAGGATATCCACACCCTCCTCAGCCTCAGCAAGCGCCCCGCCAAGAACGTCATGATGGCCAACTACTACGAGAAGCTCACCCGTATCTTCCTTGTCGGCGAGAACTACCTCTTCCACGCCGCTGCTTGGGCTCGTTACTACAACCTCTTGCGCCAGTCTGCTGCTCTCATTGCTTCTGGCCACAGCAAGAAGGCTGATAACCCGGCTTGCAGCGATGCTGACCTCCAGAGGGCTGCCACCTTCGTCATTCTCTCCGCCCTCTCCATTCCCGTCATCAGCACCTCGCGCTCTCGCGGTGCCATGGTGGACTTCGACGAGGCCCGCAAGAACAAGAACTCTCGCTTGACCCACCTGCTCGGCATGGCCCAGGCCCCTACCCGTGCTGGTCTCTTCCGCGATGCCCTTTCCAAGTCGCTCCTCCGCCGCGCCCAGCCCCAGATTCGCGATCTTTACAACATCCTCGAGGTCGACTTCCATCCTCTTTCCATCTGCCAGAAGATTTCCCCCATTCTTGCGGAGATTGGCGCCGATGCCGAGATGCAGAAGTACATCCTTCCTCTTCAGCAGGTCATTCTCACCCGCCTGTTCCAGCAGCTTTCGCAGGTGTATGAGACTGTCGACCTTGAGTTCGTCGAGAGCTTGGCTCAATTCCCCGAGCCTTTCCAGGTCACTCGCGGCACCATTGAAAAGTTCATTATGAACGGCAACAAGAAGGGCGATCTCGCCATCCGCATGGACCACGCCACTGGCGTTCTTAGCTTCGACGCTGATGTCTTTTCTTCCGCCAAGGCTGTCCACGCCGGTTCCTCTGCCGGCTCTGCCGAGAGCGAGACTGGCTCTGTCCAGCGTCTCCAGAGCACTCCCTCCCAGATTGTGCGCTCTCAGCTTACTCGCCTCGCTGAGGCTCTTTACACCACCTGCCGCTACATTGATCCTAGCTTTAACGAGGCTCGCATCAAGGCTCGTGATGAGGCCCTTGCTCGTGCTAAGGCTGGAGCCGAGAAGGAGCACCAGGAGGTCCTTGCTCGCAAGGAGATCATCCAGACACGCAAGGATAAGGCTTCTGAGGCTCAGGCCCAGAAGGAGAAGGAGAATGCCCGCAAGAAGCTGCTCCAGGAGCAGGCCCTCCAACAGGCCGAGGCTGCCCGTCTTGCCGAGGAGCAGAAGCTCCGCGAGGCGAAGCGTCTTGCCAACGAGCGCGAGCAAATCAAGAGGAAGGAGGTTGAAGCCCTGCTCAAGGACATGAAGCTCGAAGAACTCCAGGGTGAGGACATTGAGACCCTTGACAGCAACAAGATCCGCATGATCAAGCTCCAGCAACTCGAGCGTGAGAAGAACAGCGTCGCCGAGAAGCTCCGGATTACTGGCAAGCGTCTTGATCATCTCGAGCGTGCCTTCAGAAAGGAGGAGGCTAAGAAGCTCCCCGAAGACTACGCCAAGCAGCGCGAGCGCGATCTCGCTGCCTACGAGCGTACCAAGGCACAGACTCTCAAGGAGGCTGAGCTTAAGCACAAGGCTGATGTTGAGCTTAAGCACCGTCTCACTCGCCTCATGCCCTTCTACGAGTCCTTCAGGTCTGACCTGCACGAGCGTCGCCGTGATGAGTTCGAGAAGCGCCGTCGTGATGCCGAGCGTGAGATGGAGAAGCAGATCAACGCCCGCCGCAAGGAGGCCCGCGAGAAGAGGATCCGCGAGAAGCGCGAGCGTGAGGAGCGTGAGCGTCAACTCCGCGAGGCCGAGGAGCGCGCCGCCAGGGAGAAGGAGGAAGAGAGGAAGCGTCTGGAGGCTCGCCGGGAGGAGCTCCAGCGTCTCAAGGAGGAGAAGGAGAAGGAGCGTGAGAAGTTGCGCGAGATTGCTGCTCGCCAGCAACAGCGCGAGGAGGAGGCCATGGCCAGGCGCAAGGCCGAGAAGGAAAAGCTTGCCGCGACCCCTTCTGCTTACAGACCCCCCGCGGCTGCGGAGCGTACCGAGGCTGCTGCTCCTCCCCGCATTGCCCTCGCTGGCAACCGCCCCAGCTGGAGAGAGCGCGAGGCCGCCAAGGCCGCCTCTGGAGAGACCGCCGCTCCCGCACCTGCTGCCGCCGAGCCCGTTGCCGAAAGACCCCGTGCCGCTGCCCCCCCTGCGGAAAGGACAGAAGCTGCTGCTCCTCCCCGCCTGGCCCTTGCCGGCAACCGCCCCAGCTGGCGTGAGAGAGAGGCTGCCAAGGCCGCCTCCGGAGGTGGTAATTCTGCGGCCGTCCCCGAGAGGAGCGCTCCTCCTCTCAGGGCTGCCGCCCCTCAGAGAGCTGGATCCGGTCGTCCTGAGAATGACAGGGACGTTCCTCCTGCGGAGCCCTTGAAGGCGAGCGGTGCTCCCGGCAAGTACGTTCCCAAGTGGAGACGTGAGGGTGCTTAAGAGTCTATCTCTTTGCACTTGTTCTCATGGGAGTTTAAGGGTTGTTCGCGCTCCCTTTTTTACGAGGTTCATGTAAATTAGCATCACGTAATATGGGGAGCACCTCTTGCAGTATAGACTGGACTAAAAGTGGTTGTGCGTTTTTCTTCACGTTTATCATTCATTCATTCAAATGGTCCCAGTCCTCCCAGACGTTGATGGTTAATGGTCATAACAAGTCCCAAAAGCTGTTTACAACTTGTTCATGCGGCGACTGCTTTTACAGTACTTGATCAACCTCTTTATGTTCCGTGTAACGTCTTGTAGCGTACCTTCGTAATCCAGCGACAATTTGACCAAAGATCCGAGGGCTTGGTTTCGGGGTAATTCGAAATTACGTTGCAATATTAAAGGACGAGTTACTCTCCGTCCACCGTCGCAGCTCCACTGATCAAGATGAGGACGGGGCAGCGATCGACCCCAAAACCCCGTCGCTTGGGAACACCCCGGTCGACGATCACTGCTTTCACCACGGTGACAAAGACACAAAGTCTTCAACAAAGCTTTTCGTTTTTCTTTTTCCAATTTTAAGGAAAACTGTTCCATCGGCTCTGTTTCACACTCCCCCGGTACTACACTACCTGACGTGCTAACCTACCCCCTGAGTTTGTCGCATCAGCCTCCTTCCAAACATCCCGCCATCGCATCGTGTTTTCGGGCTGTCGCGTCATCATCCGTCGTTGTCGCACCTCGCCGTTGTCAATATTGCACTTTTGATATTGCTCAAGGGTTTCTTTGACGTTTCGCAATGCTTGCTACGACGGTGACCATGAGAACTGAAAGGGAGAGCCGGGGAGGCGAAGTTGGGACATAGTGTTGAACATGGCTGGACATGTCGTTAGGTAGGTATTTGTGTATATATCATATATCACGTGTCGTGAGGAACTCCATGTTACCATTCAAAGTTTCTCGCGCTTGCTGTGCCATTCTGAGAGGTTGGTCATGCTCACCCTTCGTATGCAGTGAGGCGGCTGCTCCGCACTCACAAATATTTCACACATTCGGCACCCTACAACACGAGGTTGTGGCTGATAAAACCTTTCCGACGTTTGTTTTCTAGCGCGAACTACCTTGGTAACGGCCCTGTTATGGGCCAAACTTGTGATTGATCAAATTCGGGCAAGCAATATCTGGGTTGGGATTGTATAATGTCTGCTTTGGGACAAATGGTTACCTTCGTGGAAATTCGAAGGAATCTTCATGTGCCACAAATGATCACCACAAAAACAAAAACACAAGAAAAAAAAGAAGATATTTGGACATGGGTGATTATGAAGGAAAGAGTCGCCAGACTTACTCGGGTCGTTACTGCATAGGTACAGGGTGCCAGATTGACATTTGACATCGAGACATGGTGGGAGTTCTGGTCTTATTGTTTGGGTTTTATGCTTCTTCTTCGATTTTCCCCGAGGGAAGTACGAAGAGAGGCGCAATACTATTTGATGTATGTCTCAACATCAGTACACCTCCCGCTCTCGTGACAATACCTTGGGTTTTTATGATACAACCAGTAGTAGTAATTCTTCCGGAATTACGAGGCATCCGCGAAAGAACGCATAGCCTCGTCACAATACTTGGATTTATTCCACTCCAGGTCGATGCATCCTTTTTCGAGGGCAAACTGAGCCGTGTACGAGGATTCTCCAGCCCAGCAGGTGATGATGGGCACAGCCTCATTTTCATGAGGTCTGCTCTTGGTCCCTTGGCCCTATCGAACAGGTGCAGATGTTCAGATTGAATAATATGTGTAGTTGTCAGGCTGCTGAAGTAGACCTCGAAACCATCGTGATTACCGTACTGTAGTTCCCGTTCACGGGAGAGGTAAACATGTAATGGTAGCTTGGGCATTGAGATGTCTCCAAGCTTAGAGCCGTAATATGGCAAGATCAGGACATCATTGATGGTATATGGTTGACTTTTTATTCCTTTCTTCCGATGATCATTGCGTAATATTTCTTAAATGTTGTAGCCGTTGATGGCCCCTGGACTATATCAATAGCTAGAACTCATTATCCATACAGAAATAAAGATGAGAATGCGAAGTTGAAGATGGCAATGAAGAAAGTTGAAAAGTAAGAATTGCGTAACGCCGTGAGACTGATATCTTCTAGCCTTGAAGGCATTGAAGGAGACGGAGAGAGGTATAAAGGATATACATTGAAGGCTTCTGTGGCGCTACGAACCCTTGTCATTGTCCCACAAGTATGTTGCGTTGAACGGAGGATGATTTTTTCTCGTGGGGGGCCAATAAGAGCTTCAAAACTTCCCTCTTCAACCCATCATCGAACTGAACTGACCAAACAAACCAACTTCGTATTGTAGATGGACCGCATGCAGGTACCCGTTCCCTATGACAGCAAGATATTGGGGCAGGACGTTCATCCAAAACCCTTATCAGTTATTGCAGCTCCTCCTCCTCAGCTCCCCTTCAATAACATTGTGACTTTCTCCTTTCGTACAAAATCACATTGAAGTTGTAGAAGTATGACCTAAACCACTCGATAGAAACTTGCAAGTCTTCAATAACCCTACCTCTACAACAGAGAGCCGGAAAGCATCAGATCGGATCAGATCAGATCACGTCCCGTCCCGTCTTCCCCTGCTCCCGCTCTCAGCTGAAGTGAAGCCGGAAGGTGAGGGTTACCTGAAAGGACCATGAATGACATCTAAGGCCCCAAATGCAGAAAAGGGAATGATTTACACATTGATATTACGTGCCGGGATCCACGAAAATAAAACATCGCCCCCTATGAGGTGAAAGTGTGATGGTCAACGCCATGGGCTTACACCGAGTTCAACACGAGGGCTTCATTATCCATATATCGGAACAACGCTTCATTTCCAGCAACCTCGGCCCTGTTTCCTCAGCCTAGTCACTTAGCCATTGTCTTACTACAACGCCATGGCGTTAAAGTCTCTCTCCTACACGTTGAAAACTCAGTGAGCTCCAGTCCCTTCGACTTTTCTATTCAGCTTAATACCTTCATATATTGTGATGGGGTGCTCAGCTGTTTAATGGCCCATCATCCAAGTCCCCATACCACTAAAGCTGCAGGTAGGTACCTTGACAGGAAAAGTATGTAGTAGACTTTTGCCGAGAACAAGAAATTGGATATCACTGTTCGTTCGATATTTGGGTCCGAAAGGCTTCGGTGACCGGATGTCCAACGTGATGTGGCGTTGTTGTTTTGATTCCAGACTGGACGCCGGTGAGCTCAATACACCATCTGCTTCTGAGCAATTTGTAGGATGTATACCGCATTGACTTGTTCGCACCATGACCGCTTCAGTACCATGATTCTCATATAAGACAACCTGCATCTTGCTGCTCAGCATCTGAACTTCTTTCCTCAGCAGCACTCCAACCATCCCTTCTCACGGTATTCAAATCGTCACCACCATGGCTTCGCTCACCCTCCGAGCTGCAGCGCTAGCAGCCATCGCCCTAGTCCACGTTGGTGTCCGCGCAACAACCATCGAACTCCCTCCCTGCCTTGACCCCTTCCAGCCTTTCATCTACTCCGGCTGCTACGCCGACACCGGCAACCCTCACGCCCTCAGCCTGCGCAGCCAGCTCGACCAGCAGGACATGACCATCGAGAAATGCGTCTCCGTCTGCAAGGGTAACGGCTTTCGTTACGCAGGTCTAGAGTACTACGGCGTGTGCTACTGCGGCAACACCGTCAACGGCCAGCAGATTGACGAGGAGCAATGCAACTACCCTTGCACCGGCAACTCCTCGCAGGTCTGTGGAGGCACTGATATCATATCCGTCTACCAGGATCCCACTTTCTTGCCGGTTGATGAGGTCACGGTTGCGGATTATGACCATTTGGGATGTTGGACTGATGATTCCGAGTACGGAAGGGCGCTGGCTTATCCCCAGGATCAGCTTGATGGGTCTACCTTGACGACGGAGAAGTGCTTGCAAGCTTGTCGGGATGGGGGGTATCCGTTGGCCGGGACTGAGTTTGGCGGTAAGTAGCAACTTGTTTACTTGATGTCGTGTGAATGAGAGCACTGGATACTGACTTCCTTACCCACCCCTAGGCGAGTGTTGGTGCGGTGTTGTCATAGGCAACGGGACCTTCTCCGCCCCTGATAGCGAGTGCGACATCCCTTGCAACGGAAACTCCACGCAGATTTGCGGCGGACGTGCTCGTCTCAACCTCTACGTCGCCAACGAGCTTCAGTCACTCGAACCTTGTGGCTACGTGCCGTCTCCCCCAGAAAGTAGTAGCAGCTCTTCCGTCACAGCATCCTCACCAACAACTCCAGTTGCTTCTTCGCAATCTACCTCCGACATAACCAGCTTGACGGCGACGACTTCTGACATACCCTCTTCCACTACTACTTCTTATACCCTCGGCTCAACTACCACCACTTCCACCACTTCCATCACTTCCACCACCTTAGCCACCACCACTTCGCCACCCCCTACCACTACCTTAACAACCGCGTCCACCACCACCACCACCACCACCACCTCCTCCTCCTCCATCTGCAAAGAAACAGTCACCCTCCTGCCCACCTGCGAGTACAAGTGCGGCAAATGGTGTTCCTCCCCTTTGCCGGACTGGGACTCCCCCCAGTCCTGCTTCCCCAGCCACGCCAACTGCTTCCTCCAAGTATCTGCCTGTTTCAAGCAAGCCGGATGGCCGGGGGCGCTCGACTGCTTCGGTTTTGCCGAGTGGTGCTCAGCCCTGAGCACCTACTGCAAGGGATCAAGCAAGTCGGGGGGCATCTGCTCCAAAAAGGATTTCTGGAATCACAAGCCGCCTTCGTCGCCCTCCATTGCCGGACCTGGTGTTCCGACAACGACGGTGATTACGGTTCCTTGTCTCCCTGTTAGCACTGGCAAGCCGACATCTACTTCCGTTCCAACGTCCACCAAAGCGGCCACGTTCACAAGCACCACCACCACCACCACCGACACCAAATGCCCAATCCCAACATCCACCTCCCTCTGCAACCCTCCCACAAACAACAAACCCCCCGTAGGCGGGATCCCTCTCCCCGTGGTAACCTGCAACGACCTTCTCTCCTCCTTCTCGTCCGGTCACCCCTTCAAGCTGTACACGGACTCGGACTCGAGCAAGTGCAAGTCATACGCTCGCTCGTCGTTCTCGACAGCCTGTCTGGATGCGTGCCAGGAGCAGTACGATGATTGTGTGGATGTGTACGCCAAGGGGTGCAAGGAAGGAAAGTACCGCAAGGATGATTCGACCTCGTACGCGGGGGCGGTGCTGAAGTGTAAGGAGCAGTATGCGGATTGTAAGTTAGCTAATTGGGGGAAGAATGCGGGAGCAAAGTGTAAGGTTTGGGGGGCGGGGCCTTGGTGAGGTGCTGAGCCGTGTGTGGTGCTGGGTTGCAGGAAGAAAGGAAGGGAAGCTTGGGAGAACTGGTGTTCATAAGGATGTTTCTGGACATGCGTGGTGATAGGGATGGCGGTAAGCTTGACACGGACGTTGTTCTTCGATTCTCAAGTTAATGATTTGGTACGAGGGTTATACTCTATTCCTTTTCTGTATAATTGACATATACAATTGATTTAAATATTCGCTATCGAATAGCAGCACAAAATCTAAGCAGATATCAGCATGAGAAAGTGCGGCGGAAGCAAGGCTCTTGAAACCTCATATGCCCAGGCCTGTTGAACAAAAGCATGAACGTACAGGACAATGACTGATCAGACGCACGTGAAGTTTTGAATGAGCCCTTTATTCAACTCGAGGAGCACATTGCGTTCTTCTTGTTGCCCTTTGGATCGAGTCCAACTGTCCCAAAATGATCAAATATGGTGTATAAAATTTCAACCTGAACGCCTTCGCTAATGCAATTTTGTGTATTTTCTGACCCAAGACTGGGTCGCCCCTATTACCCCTGACGGGTCTTGTAGGTTTCCGTTTACTGCAGGAGCTCCTCGCAGGTCCAGTCCTCGTAGCTACGTAGGAATGTTAGCGGGTATTCGGCCAGGTGCCGGGAAAAGGACAACTTACTATCCATCAGGCATGTAACGACGGACAATCAGAGGAATCTTCTTCTCGCGCAGCTCCTTGATAGCGATTTGGAGAGGATCCGTCTCGCCCTCGAGATCAACCAGCACTGGCGCGTTCATGCTACAAAGGTGGTTCCTTGTCAGCCCGAATTCGTCCCTACAGTCGTCCAAGCGCCACCGATGAGGAAACCCACCTGATTTGCAGAGCACGTGTGCCGAGGATACGAGCTTTCTCGTACTTGGTCATGTAAGGTGTCGTGGAACGCTGGTCGTTGGGAATCTTCTTGTCCTTGTGGGATTTCTCGTTGCCCTTGCCAGCATTGGCGGCCGCGTTAGGGTCACCCGAAGTGACTATGTTGTTGTCGTTTTCGGCCTCGTCGACTTCGTCGCCGGGTCTGCCCGCTACGTCGTCGTCCGCGGGCTCGGGTTCGGGCTCGTAGTACTCATCCGGGTCCTCGTCGAAGGCGGGCTCGTCGCTGGCGGCTACGTGTTAGCATCTCTTGCGCTACGCATGAGTTGCGGTATCATGTGTAGAGGTTGATGCCAAGGACTAGGTGGGTAGGTGGCGTTGGAAACCTACATGGGCTCGCGATCATCGTCACCGTGGTCACCGTAGTCGGACATTTTTGTTGGGGTTGTTTGGGAGTTGATTGACGTTAGAAATGATAAGATATGGGCTGCAGCTGCACGAGTAGAGGTACGTGGGCAAAATGGGATTGCCCAAGACGCGTGGATGTGGAAGACTGGACGTGTTTGGCCGACCGTGGATGCGCAAGGTGGTGAGGGAAGGGCGAAGGGCTGACAAAAGGACGACAGAAAATTCGAGTGGGGCCGCTACTTTATGCAAGGCTGAGCCGCGCCAAGACATGGAACATGAAGAGACATGGGGGGTGGGGCCAATCGATGGGCCATCAGCTTCTTCATGGGTTCCTCCCTCCAGGTCCCCCAAATTTCACTCGCTCGTATAATTGCCTGCCGGTGCTGGAACCGGAAAACGTCAGATAAACTTTTTGAAGCGGCAGGGACACCCACCCCGGACGAAAAGTCCAATCGGCAGGTGCAATGCAAAGGTTCCGTCACAAATGTGAACCTCCAAAAAAAATCAAAAAAAATCCATCCAAGCGAATTTCCCCAAAAGCTTGGAGCTCCCCTCTCTCCAATGTCGAAGCTCCAACCAAGTCCAGGGTAGCAGGCCACGGCGACCAGTGCTGCTACTCCAGGCCTCAAAATGAAGCGGAAACAGGACGACGAGCGCCCTGATGGCCATGACGGCCCCGACCATGCTCAAGTCCAATCCAAGAAAAGAGCTACTGATTGGGTCCAGCAGCAGGAGGAGGAACTCTCACAAGTAGAGCAGCTCGAGGCACCGGCCCTACCCTCGCAATCGCAATCGCCACCTGCTGGTGCAGAGGCGGCAGCTTCTGATGGCAACGGCAACGACAGCCTCGAACTCGACCCTGACTCGGCCTCTGTCGCCTCGGTTGCCAACACCTCCCTTACCCACGCCGACCCGACGACTACGGTAGCAGCAACTAGTATCAACACTACCACAACTCGTGCTTCGCGCCGCTTCCCCTCCGATCTCAAGACCATCAGGTGCACATTCGCCGGTTGCACCAAGACCTTCAACCGCCCTGCTCGTCTTGCTGCCCACCTCCGATCCCACACAAACGATCGCCCGTTCAAGTGCCCCTACGATGACTGCGACAAAGACTACCTCGAAGAGAAGCACCTCTCCCAGCACATCAAGGGATCTCATACCAACGATCGAAAGTACACATGCCCCGAGCCCGGTTGCGGAAAGTCCTTTGTCACTAATACTCGACTTCGCCGCCATGCTCTGGTTCACGAGGGCGCCGATCGCTACCGCTGCCGCGGCTATGGGGACTGTGTCCAGAGCTTCCGCAAGCACCAAACGCTCCAGAGACACATCCGAACCGTCCATCTAGGCAAGTCGGCATATCCATGCGGTAACGACGGGTGCGACGCCGGCTTCGACACTGCAAGTGCCTTGCGAAGGCACGTAGAGCGCGAGCACGGTGACCTGAAGTTTTGGTGTGACGAATGCAACGCTGAAGGAGAGGGTGATGACAATGGAGGTCGCCGTGTTGGATTTACCACGATGCTGCTGCTTCAAGCTCATATGAAGAAGGAGCACAACAACTGCGCCTTCTGCGGTATCAGATGCGGTACACAAAGCAACATGATGCGCCATGTTGAGCTCTACCACTCAGCCAAGACAGTCGAAGATCGAAAGACGATTGCTTGCACGTGGGAGGGCTGTGACAAAAAGTTCACGCGTGTCTCCAATCTCAACACGCACATCAAGTCTGCCCATGAAGGCCATCGTTTCGTCTGCGGACAGACCGATACTTACGATGCCAAGATTTCGGAGATCGCGGACTGGAACTTCGCGGAAGAGGGTTGTGGCCAGGGATTCACCACCAGGGTCAAGCTAGAGGAGCATGTTCTTCATGTTCATCTTGGGAAGAAGCGTCCACCCAAGCTGTATCCCGTCCCTTCCATGGTCGCCCAGGCTCAGCAAGCTCAACAGGCTTTGCTGGACACTCGTGACCTTGCTTGCCCTGCGTACGGATGCGCCGCTCGCTTCATCCGTCATGCTGATCTGGATAGACATATCCAAAATGACCATGGCAACAATGGTATAAAAGAAGAGGAGCAACAGCTGCTGCTCCTACCTCAATTGCATACAGGCGAGGAACAGGCAGCTATGGTACCATTTCCGAGTGCTGCCAACTTGAGCGTTGACGATCTAGGATATGTCATCGATCCTAGTTTAGAACCCCAGCATCAGCAAGGAGATGTTCACTCCGCATTCACCTCAGCTGGCGCTACCCCTCCCCCTCAGATGGAGCAATTCACGAATGCCCCAGTTAGCGATGGCGGAAATCTCGGCGCTGCGCCTTTCTGGCTTAGTGATCATGGAAATCCGTTCTCACTTCAACACCAGTCGCCTGTCTTTGAAGACTGGGCTGCCGACATGCAGCTGTTGATGGGCCAAGATGGTGAGGGTTCGGACCCGCAGTTTGCTAGAGCATAGATGATGCAGTAACACGGGTTAATGGTTCACAAGGGGGGAATTGTCGACTGTATGATGTTGCATTGCTGAAAACAAAACGGAAAAAGATGGGAAGGTTCGGGGAAATATTGATACCCTTTTGTTATGTGGCTTTGACAGTATGTAGACCGCCTGGAGGAACGGGGATGGCTAACTTGTACGGTTACGGCGTTTGAACGGAATAGACATACAATACCGGTTGTGGTCAACTTACCTTGCTCTCGGCAAGATTGTCCTGTTCGCTATCATTGGCGAACAAATGGTAGTTTTATCATAACATCTTTTCTTGTCCCTTTAGATGTTTCTCTCACCTTATGATTTCCTTCTTCATGTGCCATTCCAGGACTACCCCCACACTTGATTTCCCGACACATACACTGCCCAGAAGAAAAGTTCTCAGCATTATGTGATCAAGCACCACCCTATTGACTTGTGCAACATGGCTAATAAAAGCAGATATATCAAAAGCAAATTTCGTTTCCTCCACAATCTCTATCCGATCTCACGCGCGTATAATTGCCCTTGCTCTGCTCCATCCTAAGACTCTCCTCCTGACTAGGCAACGGCGCGCGTCTCCTCCCTGATGAATCATATTGATCATTCCCACCATCGGGGTGAGTCGCTCCTCCCGGCGGCCCACCAGCACCAGGAATCAGCGGCGGAGGCGCAAACCCAGGAGGGGGCATAGGGAAGCCCGCCGCGCCCGGCGGGGGGATTAGGCCAGGGGGCAGGATGCCGGGGGGGGGCATCGGTGCGCCAGCCGAGCCTGGCGGCGGCGGTTGATAACCGGCCTTCTTCATCATTTCGGCGAGCGCGCTAAAGTCGGGCGGGTTCTTCAGATCTAAACCCGGAAGGGGCGGCGGGACGACACCGGCGGGCAGACCGGACATGCCGGGGATAGGGAAGGGGAGAGGAGGCGGGACACCGGTGGCACCGCCGACGCCGGGGATGATGGGTGGTGGTGGTATGAAACCGCTGCCGCCAGGGCCAGAGCTGGGAACCTGCTGGAGAGGAAGGCCGGGAATGCTGGGGAAAGAAAGACCAGGCATCATTCCGCCGCCGCCAACGTTGGGTTGCCCCTTGATGGGCATCTTTTGATCCACCAGGCCGTCCATCTCGTCCTCCAGCTCCTGCTCCTCCTCGACTTGCCGCATGTGACGGCCGCCGCGGCGGTCCCAGGTGCCCTGAGCTTCGGCTGCTGCCTCGCCGATGTGATACCGGTCGTTGAAGGACTCGGGAGCCTCGCCAGGTCTTGCGCGAGACCAGAAACGTGTGATGCGATCGTTGGATCCCGAGGCGAGGATGTGGCCGAGCGGGTGCCAGTCGAGCGACCAGATGGCGAAGTCGTGGGCATAGGGGATCTTGTGGGCCGGGTAGATGGGTTGGGCAGGTGCGGACGAAGGATCGGCGGTGTCGTAAACTGCCGGAATCGGCATGACTGAGCCGTCGGGCGCGGTGTTCGGCTCGTCCAGGAGGTAGTGGAATAGCGAGCCGTCCGAGCCGCCGGTGCTTAGGAGGTTGGAGTGGACTGGGTGCCACGTCAATGTCGATATGTCCTTTTCGTGGCCCCTGAGGAGGGCGATGTCTCGCATCATTCGAAGGTCGAACACGCGAGCTGTCTGATCTCTAGCTGATGTTGCCAAACAGTTTCCTTGCACTCTCTCGAAGAGGGTTTTGGTGATGGTGTTTTTGTGCCCGTGAAGCGTGGTCAGGCATCTACCCGTCCGTGGATCCCACAGCTTGACCAGATGATCTTTCGAACCAGAGACAATCAGGCCTCTGCTGGGATGCCAATCGCAACTCTTTGCGTCCCATCCATGCCCTGTCAGAGTCATGTCCGTTGAGCCGCCAGCAAAGTCAAAGACTTTGAGTGTTTGATCATCTGAAGCCGTGACAAATTTGGTGTCGTTGGGGCTGAAGGCAAGGTCGCGAATGGGATCAGTATGGCCCCTAATGCTCTCGACATTGTTGAAGTTCGGCTGCCAATATTTGATAATACCGTCATGATCGGCAGAGACGAGCCAGTCGTCGCTGTGCGAATATACTAGAGCACGAATGGCGGAATCGTGGGCCTGCATGATCGTTTCGAAGTTGAATCCTGTGCCGTTCCAGAGCGTAAACTCTCCACTGCTACTGGCCGTTAACAACCTTCGGCCTTCTGGCGTCCATCGTACCACATTGATGGGGTGCTTGATTTTGTTGAGGGAAGAGTGAAGATGTCTTGATGGTACGGAGTCTGCTGGATTGGTGACTCGGGCGTATGGTGGTAGCATCTGTACCAAGCCTTAGTATCAATGCGGCGGGTTCATGGCTTGCATTTGTCCTTACATCAACAATATAACTCGGGCTGGGCCTTTCAACTTCACCAGCATATGATCCCCGGTATCTCGGTTGCCTGTGGCGCATGTAGTGAACAACTGAAGCACCATAGTCGGTGACGGGACCTGAGTCTAGGGTCAGTCTTCGTTGTCCATTGGCGAGTGAAAAACAGGTGCTATTGAGCTGGGTGAAGAAAAGAATCCCACCGAACAGCCAGCGATGATGATGTGAGATGATGGCGGTGCTAAGCAGGAACGGGTGAACGAGAAGTGAGGATAAATTGAGGAGGGCGAGTGTCAACGTGATCGAGTGTATTGTCGTCGGTGATGACCAGGCCATGGTCGGCAACAAAAGCTACGCCATCACGGAGCAAACGGATAACTGTTGTCACCTGGGACGCCGTCATGATTGATGGACAGAACATTGTGATGTATAATGCCTGGCGACATGGACTGTGTACACGGTATATTCGCTAGAGGTAGAGTTTGGTCGTATCCGCAGCATGAACTTACGTCTGCCTCTATTTCGGGGTGGGAGGCCATCATGACCTCCTCCCCCTCCATAGCCCTTGTCATGATCTCCCCTGGGCTCGTATGACATGGTAATCAATCGACTGAATTCTGATGCTGACGCGTTTGAATGATGATAACTTCTGGTCGCGCTTCAGACGATGATTTGCTTCCCCTAAGCGCGTGTGATTTTTTCAGAACTCTTGTGAGAATATCTAGATGTAATATATTAGCGGCATGCTCCACCCTGAACTTTCAAGGACGGATAGACTCACTTCACTTGAAGCGCGGCTTCCTTTTTTTGTTGGAGTTTGGTTTGGTGGCTTGGTTGAACAGGCTGGGTGGTTAACGATTGATGAGTTGAATGGAAAGTCGGTGGATGGTCCGTGCCCTGGTGGTCTTGTTCAGAAATGCCTGGGTGCATTCAAACGCGGCCGGCATACTTTAGCGCACGGGCCAAGCCTTCCATTTGAGGCTTACAGCGCCCCGAAAGCGCCTACACTACCTCCACCGCCCGGCAACAGCCCGGGCGTGCGATCAGTGGGGATGAATTTGGACCGCTCGTTCTGAGGATGTTCCCGTCGCAAGGGAACAGGACCTCGAGGAACCTCAACCACAGCAACGACGCTTCAGGTCAGCATTGAACGGGCAGTTTGCCCATCCGAGCCCACATTACAAAGAGGCCAATGCCTATGGACACTGGATGAGCGATGCTTACCTCTTCGTAGAGGCATACACAAGGATTTGGTTACTTGGATTCCCTTTTCCATAGCCCCTATTTCTCATCGCTTTTAAGACCGTGTTCTGGCAGTATCTAGTGCAGTAAGGGAAGCTCTTATGACCCTAACCCCAAAGCTTTCCTACTACTACAACAAAGGCTTCTGTTACTGTCCTACTTCTGCCATTTTGTACCGATATGGATGTTCGAGTGGTTCGTGGGCGCCAACTTGGTAGTGCATGATCCCGGCCCTTGCACCTATCAATGCCCTGTTCGGATCACATGTATCGAGGGAGCTTCGACCTTCAAAAATTTTAAGGCTCCATGGACGGCCTTTCCAGGTCCGTTAATCCAGCTCAAGTGGGAGGGGACATCTTAAGTTGTATTCGCGTTCCACTTCTTCAGGTGAGGATGCCCAAACAGGGGCCCATTGCATGGAACTTGAAATCTCGGAGCGTGGAGCTAGAACGATCTCGACGGAGATTTTGTCTTGGGTCGTCGCTTCTGTTCGGGAGCCGAGAGTTACACTACAGAGTTCGAGTACGTTGAACAGCACAGAGGTAGCTCCAGAATGGAAGGTAGCGGTGTCCGTTGATGAAGAAACGATGCTCCATTTCTCCTTCATTTCGGGGATTTTGAGGCCTTCTCGAGTGACAGACAACACCTGGTCCGGGCACCAATTTCGCGTGTTGCTATGGGATAGCTACCTATCTCTATGTACGCTACAAACTAAGCTTCCAAGACCACCTCTAGCTGCCCTTCTTGTCTCTTGTACAACCTCAACCCAACGGATTCATTCCACACCCTTTCTGCCCTACAAGGTCCCCTTGCATCATGTTATCATACTACCCTCGGCCTCCACCGTGCCATTCCGAGGCTTTGACAGTTTAGTAAAACCTGATCCTTGGGGAAGGGTCCGGCGGCGTGCCCGAACCAAGGTTGACAGCGGCCCGTAGGTAGCTAACTGCGAGCAAGCGCCCAACCCGACTCGGCTTGACCCGGAGATATATACCCTTGCCACCTTCACACTTTATTTGATGAAGATACATCAACAACACCCTCGTTTCTTTTTCACGATTTGACTCCCCAGAAATACAAAAACTCACAATCCCTAAACTTACTAGCTACCTCATTCCTTGCCGGTCCATGCTGGGATAATGAGTAGTCCAACGGCCACGACGACGGGGCTTGACCCCGCTGTCCACACCTCAAACGACAACGTCATCCGTCGGACTAATGGTCCAGAAAATGGCAGCACTCCTAATGACAAGGCCAATGCCGGTGGTGAACCAGAGACGGAGACGAAAAGACACTCGAAAAAGGCCCTTCGGAGTAAATATCGCCATGTCGAGGCCGTTCACTCTCAGTCAAGGCCATCCTGTCTGAGCCACGACACAACTGAGAGCCCCAGCTTCTTGGGGTTCCGCAACCTGATGGTCATTGTTTTGGGTAAACATTGGGAATCCTTGCCACGTTTTTGTTTGGTGAGTTGGCCGAGTGTGCTGACAGTATTCGCAGTTGTCGGTAACCTTCGTTTGATCATTGAGAACATCCAAAAGGTTGGACATACCATCTTCTGCCTGACTTCGACCGTTTGGCCTATCTGTTCTGTTTGTACCGGACCGATATAGCTAACAACTCTCACCAGTACGGCGTCCTAATATGCATCGGCTGCCATGACTTTCGGAAGTCCGACATCAACCGCGGTCTGCTGCTGTACTTCCTGATCCCCTGCCACCTTTTCATCGCCTACATCATCGAGCACTACGCCGCCGTCCAGGCCCGTGCCGAGCGCAATGTGTCCGCCTCCGAGCAGAACGCAAAGGAGCACCAGCACCAAGACGGCACCAATAGCCCAACCGAGGAGCAGCACCGCAAGTTCCAATCCACATGGAAGCTCGTTCGCCTCCTTCACGCCATCAACGTAACCACCGCCCTGGTTTTAACCTCCTACGTGGTCTACTACCACATCCACCACCCTTTGATCGGCACCCTCACGGAAGTGCACGCCATCGTGGTCTGGCTCAAGACAGCCTCGTACGCCTTCACCAACCGTGACCTGAGACACGCGTACCTGCACCCTGCCCGTGGAGAGCTCGACGCCTTGCCAGGACTGTACGCGGAGTGTCCCTATCCGGAGAACATCACGATGGGCAATCTCTGCTACTTTTGGTGGGCTCCCACGCTGGTCTACCAGCCCGTATACCCGCGCACCGCCAAAATCCGGTGGTCGTTCGTGGCCAAGCGATGTGGCGAGGTGATTTGCCTCAGTGTGTTCATCTGGTTCCTTTCGGCGCAATACGCGACGCCGGTGCTGCGTAACTCGCTGGATAAGATTGCTTCGCTTGATATCCCGAGCATTGTGGAGAGGCTGCTGAAGCTGTCGACTATTTCGTTGATTATTTGGCTGGCTGGGTTCTTCGCGCTGTTCCAGAGCTTTTTGAACGCGCTGGCTGAGGTGACAAGGTTTGCGGACCGCTCGTTTTATGATGAGTGGTGGAACAGCGAGAGCTTGGGCGTGTACTGGCGCACGTGGAATAAGCCCGTTTATCAGTACTTCAAGCGCCATGTGTACTCGCCCATGCGGTCGAGGGGGTGGAGTAATGCGACGGCGAGTTTGGCGGTTTTCTTCTTGAGCGCCGTGTTGCATGAGTTGCTCGTTGGTGTGCCTACTCATAACCTTATTGGTATGTTTTTTTTTTCTTCTTTTTTTTTCCCCTTTTTTTTTATTTAATTTTATTTTCTCTGGTCATTTCACAAACAAGCCATATGGAAGAACTATCATCTAACACGAAAATCACAGGCGTTGCTTTCCTCGGCATGTTCCTCCAACTGCCTCTCATCCAGTTCACCAAGCCTTTGGAGAAGAAAACGTCTCCCAATGGCAAGCTGTTGGGCAACATCATCTTCTGGGTCTCCTTTACCATCTTCGGCCAACCGTTTGCGGCCCTCATGTACTTTTACGCATGGCAGGCCAAGTATGGGAGTGTGAGCAAGATGGCTACTTCGCAGCAGCTTGTTCAGCAAGGGCAGGGGACGTGCCCTCCTCTCGTGTAGTTGTCTGCTCCTGGTTATTTTCGACGGTGAAGGAAACATAGATATAGGCTTGATCAACAGGACATTGTAAGGTGAACGTCAGCTGTTCCCTGCAGCTGGGTCAGAATTCTAGGTAGACCGATTGCTTTAGCCATGGTGTTCGAGGGCGTTGCAGGAACTACGATAATATTCTGTAGTAACGAAGGGGGGATACGTGAACTGTTTGGTTTGATAGGCTTTGTATCTATTCTTTCGAGCTGTGTACCACGAAAAGCGACTACCACGTGATAGACTATAGCACACAACAGATGAGCTCTGTCAAAGAGCACCACGCCTATATGAGACACCCAACTCAGGGAACAAACGGAATCTTGGTGCCCACCCTCCTTCGATAATCCACATACTCTTGCCCAAAGAACTTGACCAAAAACTCCTCCTCATGCTTGATCCTCGAACTAAAGAACTTCCACAACACCGCCGCGTAAGCCACAAAGCTAACGACGTTGCCCATAGCCATCTGCGTCCCCAACGCCCACCAAAAGAAGCCAAAGTAACTCGGGTGCCTGAACCTGCCGTAGATCCCCGACGTCACCAGCACGTGCGCCGAGCTTCGCTGGCGCTGCACCAAGTGGTTGAAGCTCGGTCCCGCCTGTACCATGGCCACGCTGCGCACCACCTGGCCGATCACCGTCAGGGCCAGGCCGAGCAAACAGAGCAGCGTACCGGAACCAAACGGCGCCCACGCACGGTTCGGCCAGAAGGTGTTGGTCAGCAGACACTCAAGCGTCGCGAAGCCGTGCGCGATGGCGTAACCGGGCCAGTTGGCCGTGAGAAGGAAAGACTTGACATCGGCAGCGCGGGTGTTGTAGGCGGCTGTGGTCCAGAACTCGAGGAAGTGAAAGGTGGCGAGGGCGGCAAGGAAGAAGGGCAGGCGCCAGAGCGGGCTCGATGTGTAGAGGAGGGTTGCGCCGGTTGCGCCGACGCCAATGGTGACGGCGATGCCGAGGCAGAAGGAGCGCGTGGCGATGCCGGCTAGGGACTTGGGCTGGTAGGGGAAGTAGTCTCGGTCGTTGACGAGGTTGTGGTTGGAGTTCGCGCTGGTTGGGCTGTCCGTCGGAAGGGAGAGGTCAGCTTCTGAAAGATGGGTAGCGGCAGCGGTAGCAGTAGCGGCAGTGATGTTGATGTGAGTGGTTTGTCCGCGTGAATGCTGACGGTGGTGGACTGATGGACCGTCACTGCGACCAGTAGCCAAGGGCGCCGACGACGACGGAGACTCAGACATGGTAGGCGAATCTGGTGACGTGGTGCAAAGGAGTCGGCAGAGTAGGCAAGACGGTTATGGCGACAGAGGAAGTGGGAGGTAGCGAAGATGTACACATATCATATGCTGGCGCCCGGGGACGGCAACGTCGCAACAGAGAACAATGGCAAGAAAACCAAACAATAGCATTTAGGGAGACTTACCCCTCTTGCGACCACTGGCGCAAATTGGACGATGTTTCCATTCTTTCCAATCTGAGGCCTGTCAATTGCAGGCTGCCGGGTGCAGAAAGCAGAGGTAGGTACGTATGTATTCGTCGAACTGGTCGGGATGCGGTCAAGAAAGCGAGTCGCGACGAGATGTTTGTAGTCGTAGATATTGTTGTTGCGCTCCCACGATCTCCTTCGTATTGTCGTCTGACACGCCAACAGAGTGCCCCCCCCCCTTACACCGGCAAGCCAAACAGCAACACAGAAAACAAAGAGGCGATGTTGGGTCGAGGATGCAAAGGTGAAATGATGTCAGCAACAAATCTCCATCAAGACCTCGATGCAGTTCGTTCCTCCCGGATGTTGTGCCCCGCTTCGAACCGCTAACAGCGTTGCATACAGGGGCCGGGTGCTGTGAGCAGTTCAATGACGCAACCTGGGATCCTAGCAAGCAATTCCGGGCAGTCCCAGCCAGCCCATGGAAAGCGCCTGCCCACTCGTTTACAGAGCCCCTGACGCGCCCGCGAGGCGCCCCTAGAACCCCGTATTTGTCCCGGTTCCTGATCGCCATGTCGAAAAAGGGGTCAGTTGGTCGGGTGGGTTCCATTTCAAAACATCTGGCACTTCCCTCCCGTCAGCTCGACTGGAGGCTCGGTACCTGGATCAACGGTGGACGTATGCTGAGCACTTCCAGAAAGCACATAGCTTATTGACCTTGCAGAGAAGCCAGACGTTCCACTAAAGACCGCCCTGGATTCTGAAGGACGACAAGATCAAGATGAGCACGTTGACCCAGCCCCAGATGAAGGGGATCCACGTCGACATGGAGAATGCGCCCGCTTTGTAAGTGGCTCCCACTACCAGCCCAACGAGACAGCCGGCCAGCAGAGCCTCGGCGCCAGCAACAGCAGCATAGAGCAAAGGGACCAGCCAGAGGAACTTCCAGTTGGATTTCTTCTTGCCGACTTGCATCATGAGGGCAATGCCAGCAGCACCGAGGTGAACGAGGCCATAGATGATAAGGGTCCAGAGAAGAGTGAAGCGCCACATGTCCTCAAGGTCGTAGAGGCTATAGGTGTCACGTTGAGGAGGCCAGTGGAGGGAAGGAAAGGGAGGGGTGACATAGCCAACCGGTTTAACGTCCCGGATGATGCTGCAAGTATGGCTGTTAGTGAGATACACCATAGGTACTGGGGAACTAGTCGAGAGCCGTACGAGCGTGTTTCCATTGCGGGCGGTGCCGTTTCCACCGAGCTGCGAAAATTGTAAGCGAAAGATGTAGCCTGGGCAGATGTTGACTATCTCGTGGTGTGATGTCGTCTAGAGGTAGTTGTATCAAGTATTGATTGGTGTAACGTTTGGAAAGTGGCTGGCTTGGTTGATGGTGATATTGGCTAGCCTAAATGGATTCAGTACCTATTGTCTGGTGATGTTCTTTGGAGTTTGGCCGCTGCTTGTTTGTCGTTGGCCGTGTTGTAAGAAAAGTCCCGTTTGTAACCATTCGTTACTTACTTACAAAAGTGCACATGCCAAGAACAGTGGCCGATTACGTTACAGTACATGACTACCTAGGTAACACCGGACCTCGATATTATGGGGCGTCCCCGTATCATGCATGTGCATGGATGGCAAGAAGAATCAGGCCGGGTTCAGCTGAACGGGGACGGGACTCACCTACCCGCTGAATCGAATGGAGCCCCCAGAGAGCCTCCTCACCCACTGACACTGCACTCCCTACCGTCGTTCCTCCTTACAGTACCTCGGCCCCCGGCAGGAAATAACGACGGTCGCAACCTTCCACTTCCATCAGGTCTTCAATGTTTGTTCTCTGCCAATAGACATGACATGGTTCCACCGTGACAATCATCTCGATTAGTTCCCCTGCCCATCGCTGTCCTTACATACCGCCCCATTAATCTCTAATATCCGACGACGTAATTGACAAACGAAGACTTGCGACGGCGGCGGCGACGACGACGACGACGACGACGACGACGACGACGAGCAGCACGACGAGAACGGGCGACCCATCCACACGAAGCACGCCATGTCGGTCGAACGACTTCTGACCAATGTTCTTCGGTTATACCAGGACGTCCATGACGATGATCGCACCGAACAGTTATACTCGACCACCACCACGCTGCTGACCCACCTCTCCAACCCGCTCAACATCACCGTCCTCACCTCGCAACTGCTCAATGCGCCAGCAATATGGGAGCGCGGCGATGGCATGAGGGCCTGCTACCGCGTCATCAGTATCTTCAACAGCGCTGCCACCCACGTCCGCAACAAGGAGTTGGAGGCCGCCAAACTTCAAGAGCACGCCAAACACAAGCAGCCGCCCCAGCCACTTCCACTTCAGACACACCCGGCACTGCATGGCCCGCCCGGGTCGCGAGGGTCACAAGGCCTGCCGCCAGGTTCGAGGGGATCTCAGGCAGGACCGCCGGTGCCACAGGCGCCACGCACAGGTGGTGGTTTGTCGTGCGATGACTGGGTATCAGCCGTCCTCAAGGGCGCAGACGACAAGTCCAGCAGGTGGCAGCATCTGCTTGTCTTCTGCGGTGTTCTCCTTGGCATGACAAGTCAGAAAGATCCCAGGAATCGCCACGGCCTGAGCTACTCGATGCGCAATACCGTCGAGCAAGCCTTCGTCACCGCTGTCAACCTTGCCCTCCGCCCCAGTGAGCAACCACACGGACAACAACGCGAACCAGAGCCCCCTGCTCCCCCAGGCCCGATAGCGCTGGCCCTCACCTACGCCTTCCCGCTACTTTCAAAGTCCTCTCGCCTCGCCCTGGACTGTGACGCTATCGTACCCGTTGCTCTGAATGGCATGACTGGCGCAGATGGCTTGCAAGACGGCCTCTTTCTCTGCACTATCGATGGAGATCTCAAGCAATCAGGAAACCACTTTACTTGGCAAGAAAATTCCCCATCGGCTCTTCTTCTTCGCCAGCTTGAGCAAAAGCCTCTGGTCAACGGACTTGGACCTCTGTCAAAGGTCGTTGGATTTGCCATCGAACATGCGCGTGATACCAACGTTGTCTTGCAGGCTCAGAATGATCTGCTCACGTTTACCCAAAAGCTCCTGCACGAATGGGAGGCTAGCAAGCTCTCGGAAATCGAAATCTCCGAGGAGGAAGTATACCTCACCCAAGAGACTCTACAAGGTCCTTGGGTGGCTCTGTGGACGCTCTTGAGGAAGGTCATGTATGGCTCAGTAGCTGTGTTACAGACCATTGTGGCTCGCAGTCTGCTCGATCCTCGGATGAGGAATGATGCCATGGCACCCGTCGTGGCCAGCAAGACCCTCAAGGCCCTCCGCTACCTCTACTTCGTCTCGTCTCGGAACGGAAGCGATGCCTTCCAGGTATACACCTTCACGTACCTTACGTCCGTTGACAACCTGGCGAGGTACTCGGACGCCTGTGCCAGCTTTCTACGCGATACGAAGCCACTCAACCCGGGCACCATTCCTCCACATCCCCTTCACAGAACCCTGGACTTGTTCTACCTGAACGTTGCCGAACACCTCCCCCTTAAGCTGACACCCGAGGACTGCGACTCGCTCATTGTGCAACCGGCCATGGCCTACCTGACTCACTCAACCCCCCTCTCGCCACGCATGCTCGAGTTGTTCGAGGCAGCACACAGCGCCGTCCTTTCGGTTCTCTCGTGCCCACACAACGCACCCGTCACCGTAAAGCTCGCCCCTTTCTATGCCGAGGCGCTGTTCTCGGCCTTCCCCACGCACATTTCACCGCGCCAATTTCGCCTGGCCTTCAAGACCTTGATGCAGATCCTTTCCCCCCCGTACCCCATTTCGTCAACCCACCCACAGCTGGCTGAGACACTTTTAGAGATGGTCCGTTTCCGCATAGGTGTCGCAAGCAAGGTGCCATTGCCGCCTCCTGAAACCCACGTCCAATCGGCCACTCCCGAGCTACCCGTGTCTGAACAGAGTACCTTGGTGATGACCTTGATAGATTCTCTGCCGTTCCTCCACCTCCGGATCTTTGAGGATTGGCTAACCCAGGCCGCTCATGCTGTGAACCAGATCGAAGACGTGGCCATGAGGGAGGCTGCCAAGAGACGGTTCTGGGAGATCCTGGTCAGCGGAGAGATGGACGTCGAGAGATCGGCTATTGGTGTTGCATGGTGGGGGACAAAGGGAGGCAGGCAAGCCGTTCTCTATGGATCTCAAGGAGGACTTCCTGACGTGCCCATGATGAGTGGTGCCATTCAGAACAACATGGACCGAGCCAAGCTCTGATTGTCTGTGTCTTGTGTTTTCCTCCTGCATATGGAATAATGACATTCTTCTCTTTACTTCAGTAAAAGGCATGGGAGTTCTCAGTTCTCAAAATAATACGTCGATACCCCCTTCTTTTTGCCATCCAGTAGTCAACTTTCTCGCGTGCCTGCCGCCCCGCCGGCTTACGCGGCTGGCCGTAACACTTTGCTCAAACTGATACGCCTTGTACTCCTTTCTTGCCCAACTTTCTCGCCTGGTCATCGAATTGAACTCTCAGTCGCAGTTGCGTCAATGATGCCGTGGGGCGTGGCACGCCCAGCCTCTTAGTCTAGTATGGCAGCGTCATCAGCAGACTGACCTGAGGGTCCTATCGACTTTCAATGTTGAAGCCATGAGGCTGGATTGATGACCGCTTTACTTTTGCAAACAACAATGACTTGGTCATGTTCTCATGCGCACCTACGACTATTACAGTGCGTATCTCGCCCGCATAACATATGAGACTCACCGTCCCCCAAAGCGGCCTGTTATATACGGCGGTAGGTAGTACACCGACCGAGCCTTTCATTTCCCTCCCCTCTCACCTTTCTCTGGTCCAATTACGGGATCTACGGAGATGATACAGTCCAAGCATTGTACCTTCCTAGAAGGCGTGCGCGGAACAACCAATTCTGTTTCAGTCTCGCTCTTTTGTTCGTTCTCTCCTCCCCCCTCACCTCACATGATCAGGGGATGGTGTCGGACAGTTCTTTGACCAGAACATCGAGGCGAGCGAAGCCATGAGGGAACCACATGGTTTGTTGTTTCTGACCGGTTGTGTGTCCGCGCGTCAACTTGTCTCGGATTTTCCTTGAATAAGACAAGAGGAGAAGAGCGGAAAAGTAAAAGGCGGAAGAAAAGGAGATTACGCAGGCATTTGATTATACATAACGACTACTACAGTACACGACAGGTACACCTTGTTACCTGGCTACCTCTTTTCGTCGGATTTGAGGATGGCGGAAAGGCGGTTGGGACGGGAGAAGGAGAGAAGTGACCGCAGGACCCAAAAAGTAACGAAACAAAAAGAGAAGAAAGAAATAATAATAATAATAAAATAAAAAAAAAGTACCATCTTCTTCTGCACTGGAGGCAATGCAAGGAAGCATTTCGCTCATAGACAAGGCGAAAATGAAGACGGGTGAGTGGATGGTGATCGCGTTTGAGCTTCCACTTGAGCTACTTCAGAGTCCAGACCTGAAAACGTGGGACAATATACCTCTACCGTGCAGTGGGTATATCGAGGTAACCGGAGACACTTCGGCAAGAAGTTTGAAGGCGGCAAGCGGTAAGGTGACTGGAGGGAAGGAAAATGATGGCATGAGACGATTTCGACGTGGCCTCCTCCTCCTCTCGCCTTGCGGTCGGTTGATGGTGGTATCGTCTGAGAAAGACTGGGTGGGCGGTAAACGACTCGTGGAAGGGCAAAACGGGAAGAGATGGGTATGATTGTGGTTTCAAGGAGCAAGGAATGGTTGCGGTGGTGTTGCGCGGAATCTGTTCTTTTGTGTACAGTGGAGAAAGAACTGGCTTGGTTGTTTAGCGGTAGGATGAAAGCGTTTGGAGAGGCGAAGGTTACTCGGCGAATTTTCTTGGATGGGAAGAGGAAGGAGAAGGAAGAAGAAATTCAGAGGACGAGAATTTTGACCAAAAAAAAGTATAAGTATCAGGGAGTCGCCGAGTTGGAAGAAGGAAAAGATCTAGAAGAAGAGCATCGAGAGTCTTATACCCTCATCTGCATGATATATCCCTAGCCTTCTACTACAAGCACCGCTCAACCACTTCTCTAACCTACTTCGCAACTCTATCACCATGTCGTCTTACGATAACGTACGTTGCCTATCTCCTTTTACCCAATCCTCTAATCCTCATGATCATTCACAAAAGACACATTTTTGCTAAGTCTCACATCTGTCTTCTCCACCACTCACAGACTCGCGAGGAGACATTCGTGAGGCCATCATCTCATATCCTTTCATCCTCAGCATCCTTATCATTACCATTTTCATGGCTCATCCCACTCCAATTCCCCACCAACCCTCACCAGTTTTTCTACACAGAACCTCCAGCCCAACCACAGCCATATCATCATCTACCGCACCAGACACCCCTTGCTAACAGCTCCTGCCCCTTATTTTTGCGACCAGACCTCCGGCCAAGACACCACCACGGGTGGCACCACCTTTCCAGGTGACGAGCAAGTCTCCAAAGATCAGACCGGGGCCACCGATTCCAAGAAGGACGAGTCTAAAGACTCTAGTTTCAAGGATGAGTCCGCGAAGGACCAGAAGCCCGAGGAGACGGAGGCTTCGACTACTACGGCTTATTCCAAGAAGAAGTACCAGTCTGGTTAAGACTGCGGTCTATGACGAGAGAAGGGGGGGTAGTTGAATGGGGGTTGGTATGTTTACATCAACGTTGATCACCTATGTCGGTGGTTAGGGTCATAACTGACTGACTGACTCACTAACTGACTGACCAATGATGCTGATCATCTATCCAGATGGCTATCGCAGTCACAACGTACCATGTTGTCATGGACACCGATACCCTGTGGTTGATGGTTGACGCTTTGAGACTGGATGGATGTGTTGATCAGAGCGGTGTGAACGTATACCCAACCGAGACAAGACCAGATGAACAACACTAGGAAGGAGGGGACGATGAACAAGGAAAGAGAGAAAGAGAGAAAGGGATTACAATCGTTTCGCGACTGTGTGTGGGTTTAACTTCGAACTTCCTGTTTGGCTAGCTTGATGTTGTCGGGAAAGATAGATACCTCGCCGGTGCTTGAGTGAGGAACCTTGATCAAATAGACAGACGACTTTGAGTTGGCTGGTGGGCATTGAATATATCACCATGGTTGCTATCCCCTAGTCTGCTACTAAGGTTGGCCGTGGAGCTTGAAACCTCTTCCCTACCTACGTTATGCACTGATATACTTGGCTCACTGTACTGTGATCAAGGATGCCTTGATGTCGGTAAGTGCTTGCCTGGCGAATGGGCTTCCCGTCATATATCAGCTCGCGAAAATGAGCTCTAGTTCGGTGGGCACACTGCAGGGCTAAAGAAGTAGAAGCGCTCGCATGCCTGATGTATGCAGTTGACCAACACCTTCAACCCTGTCAAGTTCGACTTCGGACGGTGTTCCCTTTCCGATGGGGGTATAATCATAAAACGCTAAACTATGCTCATGTATGATGCTATGCACAACCCGCCTGTATGTAAGTACAAGCCTCACAGCGGCCTTCTCCGCTAGACTCCCAATCATCGACCTCATCCCCAACCTTTGTCACGGTAAGAAATCGAGGTGTACACAAGAGGTCATCTTGGGTAATACCGTCCTCGATACCACCATTTTTCTCTCCCTCTTTCTCTCTCTATCCCCCCCTCCTCTCCCCAAAATCACCTTTGTTATCCCTCTACTGCTTCTTGCCAAACGACTTCTGCCTCTCGGCATAGTCCTTGACAATAAGGGAGCAGTTCGCCTCCGCACACAGCCTCTTCCTCCTCTGTACCGGCAACTTGCTCGCAAACTCGAGACCGCTCGCCCTCTCGACCGCCTCCAGGGGCACCTCAAAGTCCTGCAGCGGCTTATCGTTGGGGATCTTGGCGTTGGGCAACACGAAGGCTCCTAGCGCAACATTTCCTCCCTTCTTGCCGTCCTCGGCAAAGATGACCTTGTAAAAGTGCGTCGGCACCGCCACGTTAGGGGGCTGCCCGATCATCTCGTACTTGACGTACCACTTGTTGTCGCTGGGGTCGCGCTTGGGCAGGTACAGAGGTCCGGTGACGATGCGGACGGAAGGGTACTGCTTCGTCAAGCGACGGCAGAAATCCTCAAAGTGCGCCCAGTAGTCGCGATTGAAACCCTCGCCCACCTGCGGGCACATGTTGGACAGGTAAAAGGTGTCGTCCATGGCGGCTTGCGACCACTTGCAGTCGGCCGCGGGAACCTGGTGCCCGCGATCGAAGCCGGAGCGGAAGTAGTCCTTGAGCTTGCCGCGGAACTTTTCGGGGATCGCCTCGTCTTCGACAAAAGTAGACTTCTTGCGGTCGCCTTCGGAGATGGACAGGGACTCGGGCGTGATGTGCTCCACCGTCCAGTGCGGGTTCTTGGTGCGGCGGTCGTACGAGGACACAAAGCCTTGGCGGGTCGCGAGATCAGCGACGGGGCCCGGGAAGCCGTATTCGAAGAAGGCCGAGGGGTCGACGGGTTTATAACCGCCGGCGAGAGCGGGCGCGCTGAAGACCTGGCTGGCGGGGACCGGACCAGGCTTAGAAGGGGCAGCGGGAACGGGACCGTTCAGCGAGGTGGTGTCGACCTTCTTGTCGCTCTTGAGGGAGAGCATGGCGGCGGTGGCCGCGGCACCACCGGCGGCGCTCACGGCGGCAATAACGGCGATGGTAGCTTTCGACATGGTGACTAGCTGTCGTGGCGTTTCCCTGCTAGATAGACTCGATGGGCCAGCTTGCGGTCGGGTTGCGCGCAAGGGGTACTCTCCACGGCTTCGAGGCGAGTGAGGTGCTGAGGAGACTCGGATAGGGGAGTTGCAAAGGTGGAAAGGTCCCAACACTCAACTTTATAAAATTCCCCCACGATCCGCGACCCGCGACTTGCGACTCGCGCCCCCGCGGTATCTCCCAGGGACACCCGACCCAAACAGGGACCCCGGCTCCCCCGAACGGTTGGTGACACGGCGGCGGAGTGGGGAGGTCAACGTTTTATGTACCCCACGTACCCACCGGGCAACTGTACGGTACCACATCACAAACACATGCACTTCATCTGATCCAGCTGGTGGGCAGAGACATCGAGATAGAATGCTGTCCAGCCCCTTCGTTGCAACTGATATGGAGCATTTTGCCAACTGTTCCAACGCATTGACAGTTTGGTAGAGGTATGTAGTATAGTCCAGTACATACTCTGGAGACTCAGGGTCTGTTTGACTGAGCAACCCTGACTCGCCCATATGAGGCCAGAGAAATAAGCTAGACCAAACAGCATCTATAGATATCCATCAGAAAGCCGAATTGTTGAGACTCATAATGGACAATTGCTAATGACAGCTACCAAACAAAAAAAAGAAACACAGTGGGCCGAGTCCAAATCGGGGATCTGTGGTCTATGTTTGGTAGGTACAAGGCCAAGAAGGAGACCTATGATGGCATCGATGATAAAGATCCTTGTTGCTTTCGCTGCTTCTTATCACGAACGGACGGTCCTTGTTAAAAAGCCTGCGTGAGCTGCAATTGTTCGCCTTCACAACCTCAGCCTGGATATCTCGGTCCAAAATCAATCGACTTCTTCGACGTCAAAACCGGCAGTCACTATCAACTTGCGGCACTGCAGTCGACGCCCATCCAAGGCTGCAAGTTCCCTCCGCATCCGCCCTGCATCTTGCATTGTCTTCGTTCTCCGCACTCGGCGCCCCAGGCACCTGCACTCCATTGTACCTACCGACCGAAACAATACTTATCTGACCCATTGACTTTCTTCCATCCAATCTGATCACCTGCTTACTACCTTCACGACGCCAACAGCCCATCCAGGGCCGGCTACCGTGTGCCAGCAAGGTCCTCAAAACTAGCGCACACTGCACTAGCAAAGTTTTCGATCTCCAAGCGCCGGTCCGGATCAACAATCCAACCCCAGGCCCCAAACCCGCCGCCCAAGAGCGGGCTCCAATTGATTGTCCTGTGTCCTATATTGTCTGGGCTGGTTGTGTGTGGCCGTTGAGGTTCTCAACCACGACGGACGGGACCTGCTAGATTCTCGCCTGCGTCTGATCTTGCCTCGCCGCCTTTTAGTTTCCATCCAAACACCATCTTGATCGAACTTGTGAGGCTCGCTCGTCCAGTTGACGCCAACGTCCCTTTTTGGTCCTCCTCGATAGATATCGGACTATACACGCCGTCATCACGAATAGAAGAGACTGCAGCAACCGACTACAGACGGGCGGCGTAAAGCGACAATCCGGCAACCTTGCATCCTCAGCCAATTCCGGCCACGATGCTTACAACCGCGATCGACAATGACACCCGAGGGTGGATTTTGACCGTCGTGAGTGGCTTGGGTTCGTATCCATCACCCTTCGTTGTATCGATCATGTGTGTGGGTTGAGTTTCTCGAGCATCCAAGCTGACGAGCAATCCCTAGCATGCATTCTTGGATCAACCATCATTTGCGTCGATGTCCCCATCCGCTTTTTCAACATCAAGAGCAAGTTTAGTATACAGGGGAGCAATGTCTTCATATCAGGCTCGTTGAGTCTGAGTTTTGGGGTTATGGTTAGTGTTCTTCAGACCTGGCTCTTAGTGGCTTTCCTTGACCTTGCAAGAACATGGCGAGTTAACTATTGAATGTACCACAGATATTTTCGGCCTTGTTTAGCATGCTTCCGTCTGCTTTGCGATACCTCACTACGGAGGGGCGGGACGAGAAGACCGCAGGCCTCATCAACATGGGCTGTTACATTGCTGGCTTTTTCGGCATTCAGGTCGTCTCCCGAGTCCTCCATCGATTTATACCCTCCCACGTTGTTGGGTGCGACCATTCCCATAACCCACACGCAAATGTGCAACATCAGCCCCATTATGATGATCATCATCACCAGCCGCCTTGGGCGAGCCGCACCCATGGACAGTCCGTCACGACGCTATCCTCGGAAGCTCCAGAAACACCAACCATGGTTGAAGTGAATGGGCATGCGACCGAATCAACTCCCCTGCTACCGACCGAGACCGACCACGAGGCGCAGTCAGTTCCCCCAGTCAGGCCTAATCTTCTTGGTCGTTCACATACCGTTGGAAGACAGACCCGCAGCACCAGCGGCATCCAAAGCAGACGCCCATCCGTACGCCAGATGACGAGCAGAGTACTATCGTTTGTGAAGGACACCAAGCTTCACTGCGATGGCGATGGCCCGTGTTTCGGATATACGGATCCTTGTGGGCAGGAGTGCTTCAGACACATTGGTGCGCGCTCCATCCCCCCTGGGCGTCCCGCCACCCTCCCAGTCATACGTTCCGGAGAGTCCGTGGGTACTGGCGAGGTACCAGATTCCCTCAACAGTCCCATATACCAAGTACGGAGTCGAACCTGTTCCAGAGAGTCGTCTGTCGGTTACGCAGACCGTGCCGACCACGATGGACACGACGATCACCATGACGGAGAAAATCACGACACTGGCTATTCAGCAGTAGAGGAGGATATCGAGGCTCAACACCATCATCACGTACCGACAAACGCCTTTCTCTCTATCGGCCTGCAGACTGTTATAGCCATTGCGCTTCACAAGTTTCCTGAGGGCTTCATCACCTACGCCACCAACCATGTGAACCCTTCGCTCGGCTTCAATGTTTTCATGGCCCTGTTCGTTCATAACATCGCCGAGGGATTCTCCATGGCCCTGCCCCTGTACATGGCGCTGAACAGCCGGTTCAAGGCCATTGCCTGGGCCACATTACTCGGTGGTCTCAGTCAGCCGCTGGGCGCCGGAGTTGCAGTGCTGTGGTTCAAGGTTGCCAAGCACAGCAACATCACGATCAACGGCACAGCATATGGATGTTTGTTTGCCGTCACTGCGGGTATCATGACCAGCGTGGCACTGCAGCTCTTTGGGGAGAGCTTGAGCTTGACCCACAACAGGAACATGAGCATCTTCTTTGCTTTCCTGGGTATGACTCTGCTTGGGGTCTGCGACGCCATTGCCGATGTGTAGAATGAGGAAACATGCGACAAAAGGTGTCCCCTTTTTTGAATACATTCATAGACGGAAGAGCACGGAGCTACTAGAACCATTTTGTATCACCCGTCTTGGTTGTTGGCGTTCTTGATTGGATCAGGGGACGTCATCGCACGAGTTTTCACGATAATGACAATTGGGGACAAATACAACGGTCGGACACGGGGCGTTTTGGGGAACATTGGACATTGAAGATTGGAAAAGTCATGAATTTGAACATGGGAAAAGGGGGCGGCGGGTTTATTGCTAGCGATGAAGTTTGTGATATATCTAGTAACAAACCTCTTGAATATCAATAACCAACCAAGACGTCGACCCCTACTTGGTGCCAAAACAAGGAATCTGAATGCCACGAACTACTCCACTTAAAGCCGGTGCTACTTGGAATTTTGACCCCTCACAACCCCGAGTTTGCCCCTCTTCGGACTCCTCCTACGATTCTCCGAGATCGCTCGCTGGAGCAAAGTCGACCACCCAAGTATAATAGTAAATAGGTGTGGTCACTGGTCACTCTAGATCTAACCTCGGGATAAACATTCAGACAGCCGGCCGATCGGGTATTAGTTCCAGCGGGTATGTTTCAGTCGTTCAGTGTACTACACTAGTCAATGAGTTTTCCTAGATGCATGCAATCAGAAAAGGAAACTGAGGGGAAAGTCGATCACAAAACATGCGACATTCTAGACATCATCAGCATCGCCATTGTTATCCTCTCTACCACACAATTTCTGGAGGCACCACTACAACACAACCACACAAAAGTTCAACAAGCTAATTGGCCTCTGGATACCAAGAAATCAAGAAACAAAAATGTCGACAGAAGCAAAGAAGACAATGAAGGCCGTAGTCTTTGAAGGACCCAAGAAGGTTTCAGTTCAGGAGAGGCCGATTCCTGAGGGTAAGCCTTCCGCATCTTGTGTTTTCACTCTCAACCACCACTCCATGATACATACGGTGGTCTTGATCATGCTAGACTTATATCTCACACTGAGCACAAACTCAATCAAGACCTTCCCCAGATGGCATAACGAGTCCCGAGTCCAAATGGGCAGACTGACTGCAAATCATCATCCTCTACAGCACTACGGACTTTTGTGTGTGACATGGGCTAACGCAAGTGCATGAATGAATGAACAGTGCAAGATCCTAGGGACATCATTGTCAAGGTGCAGATGACTGCTCTGTGTGGCTCGTAGGTTTTATCCTCTGGGCTTGGTTTCCTAGGCTCAGTATAACATGCTACACACCTCACCCAGTATCTCACCCATCATGACCTATCCTCCCTACCACCCTCCTCCGTTTCCCCTCTCTCTTTCACCTGCCTCACTGCCACCGATCAATCCCCCTCTCTCCATCACCAAAAGCACACCTCTGACCGACCACCGCTAACCAACAACTGCCCAAAGTGAACTCCACACCTACCGCGGCCGCGAGGCCTCAACCCCAGGTTTCATCATGGGTCACGAATTCACCGGCGTCGCCCATGCCGTTGGCCCCTCTGTCAAGACCATCAAAGTAGGCGACAAGGTCGTCGCCCCTTTCACCGTCTCCTGCGGCACCTGCTTCTACTGCCTTCACGGCTTCTCCTCCCGCTGTGCCTCCTCTTTGTTGTTCGGTTCCCCCGGGCTCGACGGCGGACAAGCCGAGTACGTCCGCATCCCCCTTGCCGACGGGACCGCAGTCGTGGCCCCGCCCGAGATCGAAGATGAGAGGGCGTTGGTGTTGATGGCGGATATTTTCCCCACGGGATATTTCGGCGCGAAAAATGCGTTTAAACTGATGCATGACCTGAACCCGGAGGAGGCGACGGTGGTGGTGGTGGGTTGTGGACCTGTGGGGCTTTGTGCAGTTGTGTCGGCGCTGGAGTACAAGCCTAAGCATTTGTTCGCTGTGGATTGTGTGGAGAGCAGGTTGGCGTTGGCGAAGGAGCTGGGCGCGGAGCCGTTGAACTTTGCGGAGGTTGAGAAGGGAGGTGTTGGGCTGGAAGGGATGGTGAAGAGGATTAAGGAGGTGACGGAGGGGAGGGGCGCGGATGCGGTGGTTGAGGTGGTGGGAAGCAGGCCGGCGCTCAAGACGGCGTATGAGCTTTTGAGGCCATTTGGAGTGATCAGCAGTATTGGTGTCCAGGGACACTATGATTTGCCTTGGTCGAGTGAAGATGGGTATAAGTAAATTTCCCCCTTCGTGCCTCGTCTCATGAGATGATGGATAATGGATGATTTGGCTAATCTCCCGGCAACAGCAAAAATTTGAGAGTACAGATGGGCCGGTGTCCGGTGCGGTCCATCTTCCCGGAAGCGTTGGAGGTGATGGGTAGAAACCAGCACAAGTTTGGGTAAGCACCGATATATGTTGGTTTGTACGAATGTTGACACAAGATGCTGACCTTCTGTCGCGTATAGCTTCATGTACGACAAGATCATGCCCCTTGCCGAGGCTGTCGAGGGATATGATCTCTTTGATAACATGAAGGTACAGAAGGTGATCTTCACACCTTGAATAGGAGCTATGGTTTCTTCGCGCCGGATATGTCATACGCATGAGTAGAACTCTATGTCGGGGAGACCAAATAGCCTAGCCATCTACAAGTACTTCCACAGACAGACAGACAACTACCGCAATGCACCGACGGATGCGGAACTTTGGTGTGCCTGGTAACTCTCTCAGTTCTGTCTAGGCTTCACGAGGCCGTTGTGCATCCAGTAGTACGTAACAGTTGAATCATCTTGGACGGTCGCGAGCAAGATACGCTTGCCACGCTTCGGGCCCCTCCATAACTGCCACTGGGCATCCTCGTTGGCGTTCACAAACTCGCCTCCGGGAGGGATGGCCGTGATGGCATCAAAGACGGCCGCGAAGTCGCTGATGGACCATTTCTCAGCCAGGTGCAGCGGAAGAACCCATTCCAGCTCAGGCTCCTGGGGAACACGCTGGTTCAACTGCTTCTCGGCCTTGATGATGTCGATCTGCTCATCGGGGTGCACATAGAGGCGCTTTGGCGGGAGTCCATAGATGAGAGGTCGAGGGAGGTTGTCCTGAATGTGTATCTGGACCTGAGTCCAGTCGTGTTGATTTTCCAGGTTGTTCACCACAACCTTTGTGAGAGCTTGGAGGTGTTGGTCGGCCGACATGTTGGCAATGGTAAGACAGTCTGGCGTTTGGGGTGACTGACTGACTGAATGAGATGGTTGTTGTCTTGTCAATGTGGGCCGAGCAAGAAGCTTGCCCTGATGTCCGGGCAGTCTTGTTCATTTTCGCGAATCTGTTTGTCCGTTGGCGGGGTTGATCCAGACTCCATTTTAAAGCGGGTCTCAACCACAAGGGTCAGGTCGGGTACGACCTCAAGGGACGCAATCAGCAGGGGTTCTCTATCAGTGCTGGAGAGAAAGTGGGTCACTAAGGAAGATCAGGCGAGCCTGGAACATGGAGGCCGCTGAAATACGGCAGTATGGACAACTTTGGTTTTCGGATGTTTTTCCCATGGACATCTCATCTTCACATCACCTCCCGTTGACACGACACGTTCGAACACTTTTTCCGAATTGCCTCGTAACCTTGAAGCTTTACTGACACATGCGGCATGACATCACCGCTACGTCGGCCGTGTTTGATCCCGTCAAGCCATTCCACACGCTCCCAGTGACCACAGAGTAGGCCGAGATGACGGGAAAGGTTCACCAATGAACTGAGGGTCCAGGGTATTCTCTGTTGGATAGGGTCGTCTTTCTGGGTTTCTGGAGGGTGTGTCACGACGGGGCTGAGTGTCTGCAGGTTCCTGGGGGAGCTAAGCTCCGGCTATACGCGTACAGTATAGGCTGTTGGATTGAGGTCTGGCCCATCCCGTCACTCGCTTGCCCCCCCCCCCCCCCCCCCCCCCCTAGTCGCCGTTACCTTGGGCGGTTTGTGGTTGTGTCGACTTCCTCGCTTCCTCCCTCCTGTTCTGCCCCCTTGAGCAGCTGCACCACTAGTCGGTGCGTCCTGTACACAAGTAAGGTGACCCTCCTGTGTCGTCAGTTGCAGGTACCGTGCCCTCTGCAAGGGTGCAAGTTCCTGGTTCCGGGACCAAGAACTTAAATCTGACGACGAGTGCTATCGGGCCCTTTGACTTCTCGGCCGCCCCTTCGTTCTCTCTTTTTTTTTTTTCTTTTTTTTTTTTTTTCCTCTTCCTCTCCTTCTCTAGGTAGTAACCTTGCCCATATTGACTTTGGTCTCGTTTACTCTGAGAAATGCCCACATCTTACTCTACTTAGACATCGTTTGCATCTTACACCACTCTTGTTTTCCCAAAGCATTACGAATACCAAGTACATAAATAATCTTTAGTCACCCCCCGCCACGCTTTGATAACCGCGGCCGCCAACAGCCCCCTTCGATCAACGACTTCATCAGAGAAGCTGCGATGGTTCAAAACAACCATGTCGCGGCCGGGAGTCTGACCGGCACCAACGATAATCTATCTCCCCCCAAGGATCGAACGACGGAGAACTTGAAACCCGTCACATCAGAACAGCCACTCGTAAGCCGCCAGGTCTCACGACAAACCGACACCACGAAGCCTGCTCGATTATCGGTAGATGATGTCACCTTAGCAGTCCCAGCAGAACGCGACATCGCAGAAACAGACTACACACGGCCTTTCGATAATGGCTATCACTTTCCGCCCAAGTACTCCTGGCGGGAGGCCACAAAGCAAGGGCTCTCCTCGTTCTGGAAGTTCTTTACAACGCCAATGGGCTGCTTCTGGACGTTCTATGGGCTCAACGTGGTAGCTTGGGGTGGCATGTTGTTCCTTCTGCTCTGTAACGCCGCACCGGCCATGTGCCATCCGACATGCGACGATATCAACTCGCCGAGGCGAAAATGGGTTGAGTGGGACTCGCAAGTTCTCACGGGTCTGTTCTGTGTCACTGCGTTCGGACTGGCGCCATGGCGCTTCCGGGATCTCTGGCTTCTGATGAAGTACCGCATCAAGGGACAGCAGGAAGGCCTTCTAAGGCTTGCTGGGATTCATAGCAGCTGGTTTCGTCTCCCGGGCACGGAGGAGCTGTCCCCGGATATCGGACCAGACAATCTCCCGGCTGATGTCCCCAAGCAGTGCGTTCCCATCCCGCAGGAAAAGATGCCCAAGGCACCACTGACGGGCATTCGAGCACCGGCCACCAAGGTTTGGAAGATGGACTTTATGATCTGGTGCATGATTCTCAATACCTTGGCTCAGGTCGGCCTGTGTGGTATAATGTGGGGTATGAACCGGTATAACCGCCCGAGCTGGTCAACGGGATTTCTGGTAGCTGTCGGATGTATCATCGCTATGGTCGGTGGACTGGTCATGTTCTTTGAGGGAAGAAAGGTGAAGAGGATCGAAGGTGTTCCTTGCAGTGAGCGAGATCTGCAGAAGCTGGCACAAGACAAGGAGATGGGCATTTTGCACTACAACAACATTGGCGACAAGAAGCCCAAAGAGAAGAAGAAACAAAGCGATCCTGAGAAATAGAGAGTTCGTGGAAGAGGCATTAGGCGTTTGGGCTTTGGGATCAGGCATTAATCGATGGATCAAGGTTTACAACAACCCGGGAGGCTTTAATGATGGGAGTTTGGGAAAGGATATGGAACATTGTTATCGCTGTATGGGCTGTGAGAATAAGTGCGATAACTTTTTGATGGAACACGATAGGTAGAACACCATAGGTTATCGCGGCTATTAGTATGTATCAAGATTATATGGAACCTACGAGCAGAGATCGCCATCTCACTAAAGTACTCAAGTTACTGCATGACCAAGGCCTGAAAGCGAGGCGGTGAATCTCTGGTCTGTCTGTCTGTCTCTCTTTCTTCAGGCTGTCTGTCCACCAGACACATGACAGTGACAAGCTCTACGTTGATATTCCCACGTAATCATTTCAGGTTTGTTATTGGCTCGATGCACCACAGTCACTTGATGCTATGAAGCAGCAAGCAAGGGTTTGGGCCGTTGTGGCTCGAGCGGGATCTAGAGATTTACAATGCAGAGGCCAACCAACCTAACACCTTGATGGCCTCTTCCGGCGTGGGTATTCAAGCCACAGTGACCAATCTCAAGGCGGTTCCCTCTGTTCCCCCGGTCCGTTTCACCACTGAGGGCCTGTGGATACATGCGTTGTGGAAGGGAAATGATCAGCGGGCGTTTATCTGGGGAGCCGTACACTAGTTCAATGCCGCTGAGGACGTCAGCCACTGCTCCACTCCACGTTTGTCACCCGACGGACTGAGTGTTCGCCCTGCTAGACCTGCCTAGTATGTAGCATGGCAACGAACTGTCCACAAACCGACAAAGAAACGGACGGAACAGATTGACTCGCACTATTTCGAAAGTCAAGGCCAACCACGAAGGTGTTCTTTTCAGGCATCTGGAACCAATCCCAGCGTTTCACAGATACACGTTCACACAGAACCGCATCGCGACGGTCGGGTTTACCATCATTCCCAACAACCTCAAGCACCGAAAGCAGCAGGTAGCTAGCCTCTCCGCCCAGTAGCGTATCCTTTAGCGCCCCCATTGATCGTCCAAGAGGGAAGGCTACCGATATCGTTATCAGTCCTGGCATCACATCACTTGATCAACCTCCCATCTCGCCGATCATCTCGGTCATCCGTCCGTAGGTGACTTGGACCTTTTTACAGTTCTTGCTTGAGCTTTGCAACGTTCAAGCTTTCTCTCGGACACATTCAATTTACCAAACTTGAGCTGAAGGGAGAGAGAGAGAGACCGACACGATGGCGTCAATCATACCCGCGCGGGCCATCATCCCTTTTCTAGTGGGAATGATGTTACTTACTGGAGTGTGCAACACCCTCTTGACCAAGTACCAGGTAAGGAAGAAACCTCGCAACCTCCATAGCAGAGCAAGGTAATTTCCATCATCGATCCATTGCTGACGATGACCCGTTCTTCGTTGTACATATAGGACAACCAATGCGTTCGCAACTGTGACGACCCCGACCCGCTCAAGCGGAAGCACTTTGAGCAGCCCGTCATTCAGACCCTCCAGATGTTCGTCGGCGAGATGGGCTGCTGGCTGGTTGTAGGAATCATGTCGCTCTGGAGCCGCTACGTCTCCAAATCCACCACTTACGAGCGCATCAACAACCGGACGGGCGAGGACGAGGACACCACCGTCCCCGACGACGCCAGCATCCGCTCCCACACCCCTCTCACCGACTCAACCGCATCTTCCAAGTACGACGGCCCCTCTATCCTCCGCGGCTGGCGCGTCGTGCTGCTCTCGCTCCCCGCCATCTGCGACATCTGCGGTACTACCCTCATGAACGCTGGCCTGCTGCTCGTGGCGGCCTCCATCTACCAGATGACGCGCGGCGCGCTGGTGCTCTTTGTCGGCATCTTCAGCGTTGTTTTCTTGCGCCGCAAGCTGTACGCCTTCCAGTGGCTGTCGCTGGTGGGCGTCATGGTAGGTGTGGCACTTGTAGGACTGGCTGGTGCGATTCAGCCGGATCAGAAACATCCTAGTGCTACGACGACTATAACTGCGGATGTGGGCGCCGATGCCCTCAAGGTGATCATTGGTGTCTTGATGATTGCCGGCGCGCAGATTTTTACTGCTACGCAGTTTGTGTTGGAGGAGTACATCCTGGAGCGGTCGACGATCGAGCCCATTCGTGTTGTCGGGTGGGAGGGCCTCTTTGGCTTTACCGTTACACTTCTGGGCATGGTCATCTTGCACTTTGCCATTGGACGGACCGAGGCCGGTCGGTATGGACCGTTCGATATGGTGGAGGGATGGAGGCAGTTTTGGGAGTACAAACCTGTCTTCATCTCAAGCGTTCTGATCATGATCAGCATTGGGTAAGTTTGCTTTAATCCCTTTATCCCTCCTCTTCTCCCCTTCTATCAACAGAACACCACGCTCACCCCTGATTCCTTTACAGCGGCTTTAATTTCTTTGGCCTCTCCGTAACCCGCTCTGTGAGCGCCACCTCCCGCTCCACCATCGACACGTGTCGCACACTTTTCATCTGGATGGTCTCGCTCGGTCTCGGCTGGGAGACGTTCAAGTGGCTGCAGGTCATTGGCTTTGGTCTGCTCGTTTACTTTACTTTCCTCTTTAACGGCATCGTCGAGCCTCCGTTTGAGTTCCTCCGCGTCAGCCAGGTGGAGGAGCTGTTGCCGGAGGAGCCTATTGAGCATAACTGAGCCAGATTATGGGGAAAGGGTATAACATACAGACACGGTGTTTTGCGAACGGTAAACAAGGACATGGTTTATACAGTTTCACCTACGGCTTCTTGGGTATTTAGTTTGTTTTATCAGCTTTGGGTAGGGTAGGAGATCACTGTCGCTTGTCACGATACCTGCTGTTAGTTGACTCAGGGTCGGTATAGGAGATGGATGTGGTGATGTTACCTTAAAGGGACGGACGTAAGGCGTTCAATGGATTGGTTTCGGATGGATGACAAAGGGTCACGATGGGATAAGGGTTCACTTCTGCAGCGACAGCATATAAACACATATACAGGTGATGTATCATACATTACTTTTCAGGCAGAGTAACAAGACATGTTTACAGTCTACTACCCGCGACATGTCTGTGACTTGTGGAAGAGGGTCGTGGGCAATGGTCAGACAGGTGCTTTGAGGCCCGAAGAGTGGGTTGTAGACTACAGATGAAAGTAAGACAGCGATGATGCATGTCTCGGCAGGAAGATGGTCTGGATATTTGTTGCAGAATGTGCTGAGTGCATAACGGTAAAGAACGCAGATAGATGATTTGCAACAAAGGGATGGATTAGACGCACATACGGTACCCACGAGGCACGAATCAAGACTTCCACCTTTTACTTGGACTCTCGCTCAGCGAGATCGCGAACAAATATCATCAGGTGCGGACAGATAGAGTTCGAGAAAACTATTGATTCGCAACCTAAAATAAAAAAAACATACCTAATAACATCTCCGTCACTTGCTTGCCGTGATTCATACGCATATTCCCTTTAGACTTGATACTCCGGGCCGTGCGTATAAGCTTGGCTGTGTTCGCCCTGCGCCCTGCGCCCTGCTGCCCTACTGCCTGCGCCACGCTGCGTCTGATGATTTTATCCTGGTTCTGCTGTAGGTAGCTACCGAATAATCTTGCGAAATTGGCAAAATACCTTTGATCTTTGAGCGCCCGACGTTGAGCAGCAAGAAGCAGCAGTGGTATGTTGCCAATTTCGCGAAACTGTTCGGCAGGTAGTCTGGCAGGTAGTCATCCATAGGCGCTTCTTCCTTCATGTCATATCGTGCCAAGTCGTATCATGTCGTAAATCATCTCGTCCGTCTGTCCTTCTGTCCATCCTTCGCTATGTCGTCCTGTGCCATCCGACTCGACTTATCCTTCCATCTTGCCTCATCAACTTCGTCCAGTCAACCCCTGAACCATCATGGTCCATTAAGCGCCCCAGCACTCCAAGTTCAAGCATAGCAATGCACGGCAGCAATGCAATGCAGTGCAAGCTCCAAGGCATCGTACACCGTCATCAGACCAGGTCATGGCAAACCTAGTTCACATTGGCAAGCAATTCGGCCTCCAAAATGAACTTGCCCTCCTTGTACTTCTCGCTGGGCTCATAGGCTCGATCGTACTTCCATCCAACCACCTCTTTGCATTGGCGGCAGTGGATGTCCCGGACGACGTGGCGGCCCGTCGTCATGTTGCGCTCGCTGGGTTCACCGGTCTCGACGTTGACGACCGAGTTGAAGAGGTAGGCCTTTCCGTGTTGGCCTCTGAAGTTCTGTGTTTTTGGTTTTGTTTGATGTCAGCGACTAGAACGGAATTACCGGGAAAAGTTAAGGAGGGGACATGAGGAAGCGAAAGGAGGAGAGGAGGGGTAGGGAAAAAACAAAGAGAAGAGAAGAGAAGAAAAAAAAAGAAGGGAGGGAAATGAGAGAAAATTAACTGCGACTCACCCTACTGATGATGTCCTCATGATTAGCCAAATGGGTCTTGCAGTTCCTGCACCCATAAATCTTGCCGCTGTTGAGGTAGACATTGTAGGCGAGACCCATATTGTTGTTTGGGTTGGTGGTGATGTTGGTGTTGTTACGGTTGTCGCTGGAAGCGGGTGTCGCTCCTGAGGCCGTCTCACTGACGGTATTCGTAGTGGTCTCGCTGACACGGATGACTCGGGCGTCCTCCTCCGCGGTTGTTGGTGCCGGCTCACGGGCAGGTGCTACGCTGTTACTTTCGTCGCCGTTGTCGCTGATGTCGAGTTGTCGAACCTGCTGTTGGTCTTGGGCGTTCTGCTCTTGAGGTTGAGGCTGATGCTGATGGTGACCTTGCAGTTCCGGTACGACTCGCTCAGCTCTCCTGCCAAAGCCGCGGGGTTCGCTTTCGATCATCTATAGATTTCACGGATAAAATGGTAAGTGTGATTGCTTCGCGAGCGAGCAGCAGTTGCAAGAGGAACAAACTGAAGGACACAGTCACAAGACGGGACTGAAACAACGGATGGGATGAATGGATGCAATGAATGGTAATCAATTGGTCTGAACGGTGGACGGTGCTGTCCAACGACGGCGAAGCCAACGACTAACAAGCGGAGAGACAAGAGGACGAACGTTTGCGGTTAGGCAGTGTACTAAGTAGTTGTATACCAAATCGGTGTACCTTAGCGTAGAGGTACCCTGTGATAATACGACCACTGACGTCGTTAAGCGGAGCCTAGTTTGGTTGCTCTGTCAACCGATGTCAGCGAGTGAAGCTGGGTGAGATGACCAAACAAAGAGCTTATCAAACAACGTACTGTGTAGGTGTCACTGATTCTGATTACTAGTAATGGTAAAAAATGAGGTCGACGCTGAGAGGGAAGGAGTGCGAAACCGTGCGACCCAGGGCGGAATAGGAAAGAGCAGGCGGGAGTAATGTCTTAATTGCAATGGCGGCATACTACAAGCAAATTACTCGGGAAAAGTAGGAATGCTGTCACCTGCCAGCGCGTGTGGCCGCACTGCTGGCCTTACCGGCTCTGCTCGGCTTCATGTCGCATAGTAATTCCCTTACTTGCACCTGGCAAGCATGCCTAGAATGCAGCAAATGAGAACAACATGCCGATACGTGCTCGTACTACATATCTATGCTGTACATGAATCATCGGAGACTTCAGATCGAGGTTCCAGATTGCTTGAAAGTACGAGCTGCAGTTTGCTCTCGCTTCCTATGAACAGTGGGCTGAACTGAAGCCTCGTGACTCCCTACTTCTAGATAAAAATATATAGGGCGTCAAGCGAAGCTTTTCACCACTGATTGGGAAGATAATCATGTTTGCGTCTCACAAATTCACATAATAGACAATGGGAAATTGTTCACACTTATACGCAAATCTATTGGTTAGTGTCACGGTAAGTAGTCTCCCAATGTTTGTCATTGGCAAGGACTTCGTCCCCTTTTCCCAATCGTCACCTTTGTTTACATTTGCCTCAAAAGGGGATAATTAACGACCCGCCATCACTTCGAAAAAAGAATCGAACACGGCATGAGAAGGCTGGGTACAGCTGTCTTGTAATAAAGTCATTTCAAGCAAGTGATTGCTATGCTATTCTTTTGCCCACCAACACAACGTCTCAGAGAAAGAAAAGAAAAATAGAAAAAAAAAATCAAGAGTCTAATGTACAAGAATTTCATTGTACATTTCACAGAGCGGAAATGACAGTGATGTATGATGAATTGGGGATATGTCCGCACAATGAGAGCTTGTCCCAGTAACCAACCAGCCATGATATGTGCGACAAGACAGGTTGAACAAGTTTCTTCAAAGTAGCATAAATGTGAGTTCATTTCTCATAACCTCGAGCCTTCTGCTTGATGCAAATTCCAACGGAATCCTCCACTTTTACCAGGAAAATGCCTCCTCAACAAAATCAATAGCACCGTTATATTGCTTGTTTCTGACAGCGCGACGGACTTCGTCACTGAGCGCACCAGGGCCACACACCGAGACGCCCATGTGGCCCACCTGGTCCTCCATCTCCCTTGCTAGAAGGGTGTCGATGTTCGGCCTGCCCGGGAACATCTGCACTGTCGAGCTTGGGCTGTGAATCTCTTTTGTCGAGCGGGGCCTGCTAACGAAGAGCATGATACGGAGCACCTCACGACGCTTTTCCATACCCAAGACCTCCGTCATCCAAGGGCGAATCCACTCCAAATGCTCAGGGCTTTGAATAGTCCAAACCAAGATAACTTTGCGGGTAGCCGCCATGCCATTGCTGTAGGCAATAACCAAATCACGGACGTGAGGCACCGCCTGTGTGATACCAACGCCGCCGGCGAAGAGCATGACGGTGCCATACGAGTGCATTTGGTGCATGCCTCCATAGGGGCCCTCAACAAGACACCTCGTCACCATCTTGCCGTCAATGCATGAAGCAGCCTTTTCATACAAGTTGCCAGTCATACCCGTGCGACCACGGAGGATAAAAGAAACAGTCGTCTTCTTCATGGCGAGAATGTCACGGCGGTCCACGGGAAGCTTTTCGCCGCTGGGTGAGTCGGCCTCTTCGCTCCATGCGACGGAAAATGGGTGAGATTGCCAGAGGCTGACGGATGGAAAGTAGAGATAAGCGTGCTGGCTAGGCTTGAAAAACCAGGGGCGCGCCATGGTCACAGTGACTCGTGTGGAACCGCCAGGGAGAGCCTCAACGAGAGCCTTGCCACCGCCGGATCCAAAGTTGTAGTACGCCACCCGAAGGAAGCGAGCAGTACGGTCAAAGGCCCACAAGACCATGACAGGGTAGAGGTACTTGATCTGCGGGAAGCCCTTGGGTCCAAGGTGGTAATACAGGCCGACGACGGAAGCGATGGCCAAGCAGATGTGCAAGATCTTGAAGATCTCGTAAAAGGCGTGCCTGAAAACGCTGGACGCTTGAATTGCAATGACGACAAAAGAAGCGGTTGCCTAGAGGAAACGTTAGCTACAGTGCTTCAAATACTATTCATCAAGATGCAGTGTTTACATACCACGAACCCGTAGATGAGAAAATCGCTCTTGAAGATGCCCTCGAAAGCCACAGACCAGCCCTTGGTAGCAGCCGTACGGTAAAGGTAGCCCAGAGTGTGAGCAAGAGCCTCCAGAGCCACAATACGGCCCAGCCATCGGTGAAGGAGATTGAACGTATCAAACGAGATACCCAAAAGGTAAAGGAGGGGGTTATTCCGGCCAGCCATGAGGAACAAGGGGATCATGTTGGCGACAGCGAGGGTGCCAGTACGATTGATGAACACAGTGGCAGACGCGCCCACTGGCTTCGAAAAGTCGATGCCCATAACACAGAAAGCTACATTGGTGGAGAAGTAGCCGAGGAGGAAGACGAGTTGAAGGCGCGTGGGGAGAGTTCCAACGTTAATGGCCGAGCTAAGTTGGAACTCGCGGTTGTGCCTCTTGCTGAAAATGGGTGAGTACTGGACATTCTTCTTGAACCACGACCACTTGCTGCCTGCTCTGGCAAAGTATGTTTGTGTATCGTTGGTGAGGCACGAAACATGTCGTATGTATCTGCTGAGGCCTGTGCTGAGTCTCCAGATGACCAAAGCAGTGGAGATGCACCCCAGGACAAGAAGTAGATATCCCGAGAGCATGTCGTTGATAATGGCAGCTTCATCCGGACCTTCGGCAGCTGCACCTCCAGCTCTAGCAGCTATACCCCCCGCAGCACCATGAGCGACCGCTGGTGCGTTTCCTTGTGGTTGAGCTGACATTTTGCTTTACCCTTCTCTCTGGGTTTTTGGTCGGTTGCTGCTGATGTTGTGGAAGAATGAATGTCTGATATACGACCCCAAAGGTGCCCGGGTCCAGCGCGGGTGTATGAGTGTCGTAGAGGCGTGTCGAGTGAGTGTCTGATGATAGTGACGTCCTGTCCCTGGATCGCCTGCGTGGGACTGATGGGTTGAAGGTGGGTGACCAGGTTGAGTTTTGCGGAGTGTTTCTATTGCCGAATTCGGGTTGATGGTTGAGCCTCCAGGGTGAGATTTGGAAAGAAGGGATCCTGTCGAAGGCGCGTATAATGAAGGCAGGTCGTGTTCGGTCAACGATCAACACTGACGAGGAAGGAATGATGGGGGATGACGGTCGAAGAGAAAAAACTCGAAGGAGGGCGAAGAAGAGAAAAAAAGGCCAAGATGACAAGTGACAGCCAAGTTGCCACTAGCACGAGGGATGGGGCCTTTTGTGGATGGTCAAGAAAAAAAAAGTAAAGATGACGGAACCCAGGTGTTGGGGAAGGGGAGTGGAGGGAGAAAAGCTGGATAGTTAAGAAGAAGGAGGGGGTCTCCTGGGCATAAAATGAGAGAGAATGCCACACATGGGTTCGAGAAGGAGGGTGTGACTGGCAGGCGTGCTCGAGGCATGGGAGACGGAGTCCCAGAGTGGGTTTTGTGTGGTGGGTTTATCGCCGGCGCGATCGTCCAAACGTCTGGGACTTGGGAAGGTGGACTTGGTGGGGGGGGGGGGGGGGGGGGGGTGAGAGCAGGGGAGGTGGGCTTGCCCTCGTCCAATCCCTGACCAGAGGTACCTTTTTTTTTTTTTTTCATGCGCCTGCGTGCCTCCTGGTAAGGTTGTGTACCGGTGGTACCTCTTCATGGCCCTCCACCGAGAAGGCGTCTTGTGGAATCTGTTTGTGTTTTCGTTCCTTGCATGTTGTGTTCGTTGTGGTTGTTGTGGTTGCCCCTGGATAATGCGCTGCATCAACAGTCAATGAGGGAGTACAACGGGACTCGCCAGACGTCTCTCATGCACATCGGGATGTGTGTCTGGCTTCCAAACGACGGAGGCAGTAAAGAGTGGTGTTGGTCAGATGTTCCTCATAGTGTTGCAATTGCGTTTCTGTTTCCTCCTGCTGACGACATTCCAGCCGGTGGTCAAGGTAATACACGACAGAATACTCTCCACGCAAAGGGAAGGGATACATCAGATGTCGTGTGGCATGCACATCCGTCACAAAGCGCCGTCACTGCGATCCGTCGAGTGGTTGTCGATTAGAGAATTTCGTCCAACAGCATCCATTTTGACGTGCCGCCAACTACCGCGCTAGAAATCCCTAACCCCCGGAGTATGTACACTAGAGTATAGTACCGTGAACTAGTATCACAACTCACTTGGGATCTTCGTTTCGACACTACACAACCACTTGGGATAGGTATTCAGATTCCCCACTATCAGTCAATCTCCACGAGGTGCCGCGGAAGGAGTTCGCCCGAGGTTTTCTGTTCTGGGCCTCTGGGGGAAGGGCATGCCGAGTCGTCCATGTCGTCGTCTGTCGTATTGACACTACATACCCCTGGGTTTTCCTCCGCCGGGCAGGATTAGGTGATCAGAGCTGTGACCAGCTGGATACATGGTACCTAGCCCTCCGGGCCTCCTCCGGGCCTTACAATTTGGGATCGGGTGTCCCTGCATTGTGGCGGCTGCAGTGCTGCGGGTGATGCTCTCTCCACCGCCGGGTCACAGCGCTGAAAACAACGGTCACAAACACTCTTTGACAGTGACGGTCTGGGTACTCAGTGGATAGGTAGTGGGTAAAAGATGGGAGAGAAAACTGGAGAAGAGACGAACGGGAGTTCCCAAGATTGGCTTGGCCCGTGCGCTTAGGTCCAAGCACGTTCCTGAACATTTGGGTGGACTTTGTGGAGCCAGTTGGCCACACTGAAACAGCCTCGCAACGAGCCCCTGAGGTCGCTGGAAGCTCTGAGATCGCCCCTTCGCCAGTCATCCCGAAATTCAAACATCAGCCTCCCGGATGTCTGGCCAGAAGCTGCTATGTTCCCGAACAAGCGCACGTCAGCTGAAATGGCCTCTGAACCCCAAATAGCGATGTACATAACAAGATCAGCCAACGGAAGAATAAGCCGAGATCTCCACATGGACTGGGTCCCGGGGAACTTGTTCTCTGTTCCATGATCCATTCTCATCACACGGACGCACTTCAGCGCCTCGCTCTTTTGCTCCGGTTGTCAAGTGAACAACAACAACAACAACAACAACGGCCGCCGACAAACTGCAGAGAATTTGGTTTGATAGAAGCCATCGCCCACACAATCTCTTCTTGCAGGCATCACCGACTCTCGTTTGTCGGCAGATGTGTACTCAACATCCATCCATCAACCTAAGCATCGGCCGTGCGCGGCAAACCCTGTAACGCATCCCAAACAATCACGCTCGTTGCAGACAGAGGCTTCCTCCATCTGGATGGATTCCAATGCTACATACCAAGAAACCCGTAATTTAGCCTCGGTTTATCATCCCACGCTCGTTTACCGGACTCGCCGGGAAACGAGAAACGAAGCATCTCTGTGGATCCCCTTCGCAACCCAATACCTTGAAGAGGAGGTTATCGCCGTGTGGCCTCTTGGGTCTGCAACCGCCGAGTACATGGTAACATTCAATTCTTCACGAGGTCCTTTATGGTACACTATACGCAATCTCCCTCTCCAGTGCTCCATCGTCTCGCCGTTGCAAAGCCAGGCGTGTGTCGAAGGAAACCCCCGGATAGCCAATAGTTATGTACACTACTTCATTCTCTCTGAGCCGCTTCCTGTCGCCGTCATTCTTCGAGAAGAATTCAAGTTGTGGACTAGATACTTTGCGAGTGTTTGTTTTATAAAACACTTTCTTTCCATTTCCCACCCTGATCAAACGTGGTAACTCCTGGATCAACATGATGGAAATTTTAACGCCAAGTTGGGATCTTGGAGTTTGAGACGAACCCCTGGCGGTAGATAAGATCCATTGTCTCCCGTCTCAGCTTCTTTGGCCTTGCTTGTCACGCCCGCGCGGCTCAATCGAAACAGCAATGATCGAACGTTGGCCGGTCGTTCGTCATCACCATTTCCACTGGGTAAGGAGTGGTCACCATCACCCCTGTCCCGGTTACAAACAATGGAAACCATGGGACAGAAAGAAAAAGAGAGAGAAAGAGCCTCAACAACCGCCATGTCATGCGGCGTCATCCAGACTGAACGACACACTTG